GCTAATTCATATTCTACTGCTGACCAAAGACTGATGTACAAGGCAGATAAAGGGTCTTGGTGGTGAGCTGTTCTTACACATGCAGAACCAATCAGCATTAGCAGGTCCTTGTACATTTAAACTACGATGTAAATTCATCATGCACAGATGCATGTTTCCGTTTAATTAAGGGAAGAATATTACCCTAGAAAAATGCTATAACCCCCCACCACCATAAATCTGCTTCCCACCAGAATCACATCTTAAAAGGTTTCTCAGAAGCCATTTTCTGCAAAACTCTTTGACACAAAAAAGGACTGAGCTTAGTGTCAAATGCTTTGAGCTCGATTTAACAGTCCGGCTACCAAATAAATAAATAAATGAAACCGAGGGGATTATGAAAAATAACCTTACACAGCTGGAAGCAAAATTCATCATAAACTAAATATGGCAGATAAGGATTTGCAAACATGTGGCATAACACTTTGACACTACAAAGACGACTTCGCCAACACAGACATTACAGAATGTCTTTGTATTTCATTTCAAAATGAAGGCCTTTCAATGGGTGACGTCACACGCAGGACGATGTGGCTCTTTTCCTGAAGGCACTTATTCATTAACATCACCTGAGCACAGTGGTCAAAACCATGCAACAGCATTGGGAAGGTTATTAGCTCGAGTCCCATAATCAGGGAACCCAATCTGAATTGCTCTAATTAAATATGCGGTTGCATTTGAATGGACAAAAATATAGTCTGCTTTAGTTAAGCAAGGAAATGTATGAGACATAAAGAGTCAGAACTGCTACTTCCTTAAAAGGTTAGCCATCTTAATGAGAAAGCAAGCAAAAATATTTATGGACAAGAAAGCTTGGATGAGGTGTTGCATTAAATGGGTACATTTAAATGAAAGTATAAAATTACCTAAAAAAAAAAAAAAAACCCTCAGACTTCACCTCCCCAAATCACTTTCACTAATTTATGGTCAAGGTCATAAAGTATGATCATATATCCTAAACAACTTATGCAGTCGGAGCCATAGCTCCATAGCACCCTTATACATTTATACATTTATACTTATTTAATTGCACTCATTTCTTTACTTACTTATTTTTTTTTTTACTTTTGTTAATGTTTGCACAGTCAAGGAGCGGCTCAGGGTACATTTCACTGTGTGTTGTACTTGTATGACTACGCATGTGACAAATAAAGATCTTGAATCTTGAATCTCTTGAATCTAGCACACAGATAAACCCTGATCCATGCAGCAGTCCATTGCAGGGCATGCGCACACGCAAACACTCACATGCACACACAGACACACTAAAGGCAGTTTAGGCACATCAGTAGATTGTATCCAAAAAAAAAAAAAAAGGAAAGAAAAAAAAGAATATCAGATTTTCCCTAATGTTGCCATTTTGGATTTTTTTTATTTTTATTTTTTTAAAATATTACATCATGAAGTGCCTTGAAACAAATTCTGTGTAAGCATTCAGTACACAACATAGCATACTAGGCAAACTGCATTGGCTGAAAGCGCATGCATGGATCCGGATCAGGCTTAAGCACAGCAGCCTGGGCATCCTGGACAGCCATAGGAGCTGCTTAGCTAGCTGCCCAATGACACAACAGCATTTTATCATCACTTAAATAAGATCAGCCAATCAGCTTGAGAGCATGGCTGACCGTCGTTATGGGGCTCCTCCCATCCACTGCTGCTTAGTGCTGTCAACGTAGGGCCACAAGGAGACACATGCCCCAACTCACAGGGAATTCCAGCCTTGGTGACACCGACTGCGGCAGCACATGACACTGTCCTTGAGAGGACGTCACAGGACAAACACGCCTGGATTACAGGTTAACGCAGAAGACAGGGCCTTCACGCCCATGTAAACACACCACCACAAACGACACAGAGCTGTTCTGCAGGCACGCAATAAAATAAATGAGTGTGTCATCAGTGGAATGAATGATGGGGGGGTGGATTTTTTCTTGTGAAGCTCATGGAGGTTTGGGGGGGGGGGCATTCTGACAAATACTCATCATGAAGGTGTCAGTCTTACAGAGCAGCGGAGAATCAAATCAACCTCTCCACATCAGTTCCCTTGCCACTACTAAGTGACCTTAATCTCACTCTCAACGAGCCTCTCTCAGCAGACCATCAGACATCAGAGATGTGTGCACTTGTCCTCCACTTTTAGCAGTCCCATTTGACACTGGAGGGGGGGGGGGGGGGACTCAAGGATGTAGGGTCATCTATTCTGTCCCCAACTAGCTATCCACATCCGACAGGCAGCAGAGGGATGCAGAAGCCAGGACAGACACTGCGGTTCCTCTTACATGCCCATCTGGAGACCAAAGGCTGTCGCTCAGTCTGTCTAAAAGGACCGTTTTGGCCTTACAGCATTTAAAGGGCTCACAGTTAAATCTGTGATGATCCCATAATGAATCCCCCAGCGATGACCCGAGACACAAGCAGATTCGGATCCTCTGGGTCATTCCTGTGTCCTTATGGCGAAAAACAGGGACATTCTTGAGGTGCCTTTTCCATAGAAATAAAAATGGCAGGGTGCCAATTGGGAAGAGCTGTGGCTCATATCACAAGAAGGCAGCCCTCCGTCAGCCACCCCCCGCAGTCACTAACCCCAGACCACACCCCCCCATACACACACAGAGGTTTAACATCTAGAACTCAGCAGATGACCAAACGGCCTACACAGAAGCAGCATGTAGATGTCTGACACACCACATCATGAAAGGAAGATTTACAACCCACATGCACTGCTAGGAATCCAAGCTGAATACCTGGAAAGCCATTCTAGATTTCAAACATCTATTAAAAGGACTCAAATTTTTATTTACGGACTGAAACCTTCAAATTATGGAAGGTTAACCCTGGAAACAACATGCCAGTATTAGCTAATTGCTGAATTATAGATGGTTAACACCCCCCATTACAGTGTAATAAATGCAGTGTCACTTTGCTTACCTATGTCGAATTCCGGTAGTGTCACGGTACTATTTTCAAACACAGGACAGAACCCCCCCCCCCCCACCACCACCCGAAAGATTGTTAGCTGAGTCAGTATAGCCATTAAACCTTTATTCAGCATCGCAGTGCTACACAGCTGTGTCGACGTGGTGCGTTATGCAACAGAGCGGAGGAACTAGGTGGGTAAATAAGCCAAATGCGGGGGTTTGACAGCAACCAGCTAGAAGCTGCGCGTGACAGACCCCTCCGGAAGAGCGCGCGGCCGGCCCACAAAGGCATCCCACCTCACATTTAATGCACCATTAAACGGAGGGAGAGTCACCTCATCCCCCGTGACCCTGACCAGAAAAAGCGACTGCAAGCCTGATGGCGGGAGTCACCCCTTGTTGACCAGGTGCTCTCACGCAGCTCTCCTTCATAAATCAGTTTCTAACATAACTACCATGCCAGGCTATTCCATCGACGAAAGAAAGAGGTTACTTATTTTCAAACATAATCAAAGTCACGTCTTCTTTCCATATGCAAAGAAATCCAACTTCTCTGTATTACCTTCAGCCACTTCATGTCCCGCTAGTCTGGAATTAAAATCCAGATGCTGCGTATGTAAAGTCCCGTATACTTGCCCCTATCTCCGCGTCCGTCCTTCATTATTAAAATTTCCGCCTTAAGAAGTCATCCTTCGCGTGTCAGAGTGCTGAGACAAGGGGGTCCCTGGAGTACTAAGTACATCAAAACATTTCACGCCCACAAATACGGAGCCAAACGCAAACCTGTACTATTAAAGAGTTGCCCTATTAAAAACTCATTATCGTACCGTCTTTTATAAAATGACACGAATTAAGCGGCCACTCAAATTCCTACCTTGGGTTCCCTGTTACGTAAAATAACCAAGAAGGCTACAGAGCTCCACAATAAATAGATGCGCGACAAATGTAACTGTACAAGTATGACATTGCATGTTATGAATGTGTCGCACACCTACAGATGGCCAAATACATTATAACCCCCTGTTGAAAAAGAAAAAGATGCATTCATTGCATTATGAGACACGGGGGAGAGAGAAAAAAAAACTCTGGGGATATTTGAAGCAGCGTTGTTTTGAATGTCATTTTCACCCAAACTGTATTCTCTAACTCGGTAAATAGGAATAGAAAGCATAACGTTTATTGGTACCCACGTCAACAAATTTACGAAATATACGATATAAAACTTCAAAGTGCTTTTATGCACCAGCCTATTTTATTTTTCTCAAAGCGAGATTCAGCGGTCATTTAAAGTCTTGCAATCTCAAAGGCTGCTTTCAGCAATAAATCCAGTTCTGAGCAGAGGTTAGTAAATATATCGCGTATGTGATTTCCCCTCCTTACTGTGGCTTCACATAAGTGTTTAAAAAATGTATAAACGCTTTAAAAATGATTCACTTACGGGTCGATTGTGTACTATACTTGCTCATACAATGCAACCGGTCGAATTTTTTCGCACAAGCAAACGCCAACAGGCCGGCAGTCTGTATCATTTACCCTTTCGGTGGTGATAATTACCGTTTACTGTAGTGGCCAGTGATACCTGCCCAAACCCGAGGTGACGGTGCCTAATAAAGCCCGCTGATAACTTCCAGCTGAAAGGTGTGACTAACGCGGTGCTAAGGGAGCCGGCGGCGGGGGCGGAGATGTACGCTACTTCACGCTGACAATTACCGCTCAGTTCCTCCCAGGCGATCGCAATGTAACATTCCCCGAACCACATTTGAATTTTCAGAAAATCTTGCACACAGTCCTTGCAAGTGCTCGGTGTTTCTTTTTAAAACGAAGACTTTAGCTCCAACAAAGAAAGAATTAAGTCTCCGCCTATTGCTTCTCCATATCATTATGTATCCACCTGAAAAGCACGTTGTTCTCCGGGATGAAAGACCACCAGAGATATTCAATAATGTACCGAAGCAAATCACTCCGATCAATACGCATGCAAATGTTTCATATGGAAGTACTATGGAAAAGCAAGAGGATATTGTAGGCAAAGGCACGCACCTGAAAAGCGAAGGCAGAGCTCTCCTTTTCGCATGAATAAAGCCTTCTTCTCCCAGCCGCTAGGGCAGTGCCCGCTACCGCACGCTCGCGCTTACCGACGGGACCGCTTTCCGATTCAGCCCCGGAAGCTGAATGCGGGCGTGCCGGCGCCCCGGAACGTGTGTAGGCGGATGCCGCGGCACTGCGGTTCCCTGGCAGATGATGGAAAAATAGCAGCAAAGCCCCGAACCCCGCCCGGACCGCGACAGGCTGACACCGCAAAGGCGGCCGCTGTCCCAGCAACACAGGCGACAACTAATACAGAGCCCAAGCTCATCTGCACCCTCCAAGTGTTTCAGCAATAAGGAGAAAACAGTCGCTTTAATAAGACACTATACATGTCAATGCATCACTTCGTCATTACGTACATCAAATTATGCTTTAGTTTTGCTTTGACGAATCTTTTTAAATTATTAGGGTGACTATAAAATTAATTATTGGGAGCCATTTCATCATCTTGCTACACATAACAATCAAGCCATTTCCTGCTATCAAGTATAACCATGCACACACCATTAATACACCCCCCGCGGTGAAAGAATTGAAACTGCAAATCAGTCGCAATTCAAAGTGCGGCTTATCTAAGTACTTTAACTGATTCTAGACCAAGTTTATTTTTCATTCTTGCAGAAATTCCCTTCAATCGCTTCAATCATTATTATACAACACAATATATACAATGGGCTTTGAACGAAAACGTAATATAAAAGCAGTGATAAGCTATATTGATTTCCCCTCGGAATATATATCCTGTACGCCATAGAACCACTTTGCAGAAATAAATTCTGTCCTCTCCTCGCAAACATGATTGAGTGCTGAACACTGCAGATACATTTTTGCTCTTAGAGAACAAAACATCTCCCCGCACCTGCTTTGAGTCACTGTAGCAAGCCAGTCCTTTGTCTTGTCATCCCACCAGCATCATTGGAAATGATGGACTTAGGAACAGCCCTGTTGGTGCGCTATGTTTGGCTTTGTGCGCTTGGAGCTCTTTGCCTGATATCCCTGACATTATTTGTGGCCTTTCATCCATCTTTCCATTGTTAAACCCGTGCAGCAAGTTCGTGGTGCGTTGGTGAACAAACCGAACCAAAGATCATCAGAAGTCTGCAGGCTTGCATAATAGTAGCAGCAAGACAAGAGCTGCTTCAATTGGTTTTGCAGCTAGAAAATTTAATTAAGTAGCAGCTTTCACCCACAAACAGTAGGATTTTTAAAAATATGTATGAAATATTCATGCCAAAACTGGATGCTGTACGTGTGATCCAGTTTCTCCTTTGGATCTCCATCTTCTTTAGTCCCTAAATAAATCTGAATTAAAAGCTATAGTGGATTCAGATTAGCCAAAAAAAAATAATGGTAGGTTGATACGGTGGTGCAGACCTCTGGGACCTGGGTCTGAGTCTCTGCCAGGATTCCATGCGAGTGGAGTTTGCATGGGTGACTGACTGGTGTGAGAGTGTGCCCTGCAGTGGGTTGCTCCCCACCCTGGGTTGCTCCCCGCCTTGAGCCCTGCGGTGGGTTGGCTCCCCATCCTGGGATGTTCCCTGCCTTGTGCCCTGCGGTTGGTTGCCCCCCATCCTGGGTTGTTCCCCGCCTTGTGCCCTGAGGTTGGTTGGTGCCCCATCCTGGGTTGTTCCCTGCCTTGAGCCCTGTGGTGGGTTGGCTCCCCATCCTGGGATGTTCCCTGCCTTGTGCCCTGCGGTTGGTTGCCCCCCATCCTGGGTTGTTCCCTGCCTTGTGCCCAGCAGTGGATTGGCTCCCCATCCTGGGTTGTTCCCCGTCTTGTGCCCTGAGGTTGGTTGGCGCCCCATCCTGGGTTGTTCCCTGCCTCATGCCCTGCAGTGGATTGATGCCCGATCCTGGGTTGTTCCCTGCCTTGAGCCCTGCGGTGGGTTGGCTCCCCATCCTGGGATGTTCCCTGCCTTGTGCCCTGCGGTTGGTTGCCCCCCATCCTGGGTTGTTCCCTGCCTTGTGCCCTGCAGTGGATTGACGCCCGATCCTGGGTTGTTCCCTGCCCATAGGCTCTGGACCCCCTGCGGCCCCGAACAGGATAAGCAGTTTCAAAAAATGATGGCATACTTTTCAATAGATAATCATCTGAGGGGATGAATCTCTCCAGAGAAGTGTGAAATTGGTTACCCAGAAATGTTAGCAAAGACATTAATGAGCACAAACAAGGCTGCATGTTACACCTTTAGATCCTCCTCTTGCATTTATGATTGGAAAATGCGGCTGTTGCAGGGTGTGCTTTGTTTAACTGAATGATTAGACTTCTGCTCAGCAGTGTGTGAATTACCCAAACAAACAAAGAATGCACCTGCTAATTGGTATGCAGCACACTGCTGAACTATAAAAGGAAAAAATGCTGTGATATGGAGAGGCGTGAAGCGTGCTGACTCAGTGACTGCGTGCTGTTGGTTCAGGCATCCAGGACTGGGCATTGGAATCCCACTTCTGCTTTGTGTGAGTGGAGTTTGCATATTCCCCAGGCCTGAGATGAATCCCACCCAGGATGCACAATTCCTTCGGCACTTGGCTTCCTGGAACAGACTCCAGGAACCCTCTATGATCAGGCTCAGGACAAGCAGTTCAAAGGCAGATGGAATGGATGCTGTGAAGCGATGGTAAGTTATGTACAGTTACGAAAGTTAGACAGAGAGCTATAGAAAATGGGGCCTGCACAGGCTGCTGGGTCTAAGGCTGGACCTCCTCCTAGCAAATAAGACCTCTGGAGTGGCATCAAAGTCAACATTTTCAAAATGCAGACCCAAGGAACCTCGCTGAATAATACAAGGAACAAGTGATGATGAGTTATTTAATATCTTAGGAAAGTCACTCAACATACATCACCAGTCAAAAGTTTGGACATGCCAAGCTGTGACAAAGTGATAGAGTGATAGTGTCACATCACATGACCTGGTCACCTGACCTAAACGCAGTAGAAATGAGGAGTTTGACCAGAGAGTGAAGGAAAAGCAGCCAATGAGAGCTCAGCATATATGTGAGCACTCCTTCAGGACAGCTGGAAAAGCATCCCAGGATGCCGCTTGAGGAAACTGGCATAGAGGAGCAATTGGGATTAAGGGCCTTGCTCAAGGGCCCAATAGAGGTATCACTCTGCCAACCTTGGGATTTGAACTGGCAACCCACAGAACTGCCCCCCTGACAGATTAATTTAGGTTTAATTTAACACTTTTTTTGGTCAATGAATAATTCCATATCTGATATTTTATAGTTTTGACATCCTAATTGCTCTTAAGTGTAAAAAATACACTTAAAGTACAAAAAACTACTATGTGTAACGGTACTGTCTAACTGTAGCAGTCTAAATGGAAAGAGCAGCAGCAGATTCTTTCTGGAAGAGGCAGAAATTAACTGTTATACTCTCAGCTGTTATACTATACAGCTTTTAAGCAGATCCTAAGAGGTCAAGCATGACGATTCTCGCTATGCTGCACTTGGCTGTCCCTGCTTTTTAATTCATCATTATATCCAGGTAATTATCTAGTGAAAAGTCGCACAATATATCAGTTAGCAGATCAGCATCAGCCAACATTCAATAAAAATTATGACATCGACATCGGTCAGAATCAGAAAACTTTTATCCCGGAGGAAATTCTTTAAATAAACTATTGTTTGTTGAAATTGGCCTGAGGCATCAGTCTTGGTCAATATCGCCACCAATATTTAGACATTACTCAGCATTCATGAGCAGTTATGAGCACAAGAACTAAAGACATAAGTACTAAAACAATGGAGAACGTCACTAAAGTGGGCAGGACGTCGCTGGGGTGCCGCTGCCCGCAGGGCTGGTGGAAGCCCACATGCTGCCCTAGGCCAGGCTCACTGCTGGCGCCCCAACGCCCCCAACGAAATAAAAACTGCAACAAATGACAGATTAACGCTATCTTAAAGTCATACGTTATCATCTATTGGATCACGTTAATTTTGATTCTGACACCCCAACAAGACAACAGTAACAGCACTTCACTTGTGACGCTTTATTTCCCCACACCCACGTCTCTTTGGCAGCTCCCCCCTCCCCCACAATGCAGGCTGCCAGGTGCAAGTGAAACTGGCTGGCTTAGTGGGTTAACCGGCCCTGACTGTCTGCATTACATGGTGTGGGTGTTACACATATTCAAGAGGTCTGAAGGAGTAACATCACCAACATCAGATTCACTACAACATATTGGTTATCGGTATCTGGCAAAATTTCCAGATTGTTGCACCACTGATCAAGTGTATCTGATTTTTCTGACAGTGTAGTTGGAACAAAAAAAAAGTCGTTCCTAGTGTTCCCACACTTTCTAGCTTAGTTAGTAAAATGAACAAATTACACACATTATAAATGAACACATTATACATTTAAATCCACATAGCTATAGAAGATATACTTTAGAACAATACAATTTATAACTTGCTTTTACCTGAATTGTATAACATTCTATACCTCCAACTTCAGTTCTTTACCATCCACTTTTTTACATTTTCCAAAAGAAATAATTCCTTTTCACCCTAGATTATTACAACCATTCATTTCTAATATAATTTATTGCGTACCACACCAAAGTGTCATCCTGTCAGGAATGTGCTGACGTATCTGTGTTTGGGGACTGAGTGATAGAGTGTCATATCGGCTGGGTAAAATCTAGGCTTGCTCCAGTTCCACCAGCACACCATCACAGTCCTTTGGGTGGAGGAACATAACGGGTTTGCCGTGAGCTCCAATCCTAGGCTGCTCTGACAGGGTTCTGATGTTCTTCGCCTTAAGGTCCACTATGGCAGCACCGATGTCATCTACCTGTCCCCGACATATCATTAAAAAGCACATCTTAAAATCAGTGGCGGCAGTCTCTATAGATACATAACATAGATTCATAACACCTGATTATCATTTGAATGAGGAAGGTCACCTATGGTTAGCATAAGCAGGGACAACTAGAGATTGTCCCATGCCAAGTACTGCGCTATCACAAGTGACATTATAAGCTTAAACCACCATCATATAGTGGTAGTCATACTGATGTTCGTAGTGTGAAAAACTGAAAATGCTTTTTCAAAACATTGCAATTTTTAAGTCTATATTTTTGCACAAAAACATTCATAACCTACATTATTGACGCTGAATGATTTGGAGCGTTAAGTTTAAGACTCACAGCAGAACCATTGCTGCACACAATATAAATCGTAGGGTCTTCTATCAGCAAAAATCATACCTCGATACAAATATGGTGCATCCCTCCGGACTTGTTCTTCGCTAGAAACCCTGCGATGGGACTCTTCTCCCCCAGCGGGTGCAGGAGCTCCAGTTTGGTGTTGCCGAGCTCCACGAACACCGTGCAGACGCCGTGCTCCGGCAGGGGGACGACGGCGCTCACCTGGGCGCCAAGCACGTCGCGGTACAGGGACGCCGCCTTCTCCAGGTCCGGCACGGCGATGGCCACATGGTTGAGCTTACCGAGTCGCCACAAGGATCCGGGGATACCGGGGGACGGGGGTCCGGCGGCCGAATAGGCTCGCAGCGCGGGGCTCAGGCAGTGCACACGCCGGAAAAGGCCACCAGCTGGAAGAAAGCACGTTACCGTGTTACTCATTATCAGAAGGAAAAATATACGTGAATTCGATAATTCATCTATGACTGATTCATTTCACAGTTAATCACAATGTAACACAAACTTTAAACCATCCATACTTACTATCCAGTTTACATTACACTGTCAGAGGGAAACACGGATTTTGCATTTTAAAGTACTTATCAGGCTTTTGTCAAATGCTGCATGTAGGATTTTACCTGCAATTTAAAAAAAGCGATTTTCTTTCACGACTTAATATAGTGTTCAACATTATTAAAATACATTTACAGTGAAACGATAAAATTGCGAGTTATTAGTCTGTAAGACGTTTCGCTACTTTATCCAGACAGCTGTATCACTAATGTCCCGTAATTACCCTCATCGTACAATTATGATTTTATTAAACGATTAAAATTTTCCCAAAAGTCGCATGGTTACATTGCTTCGTAGGGTACCTCACCTGCAACCTTCAACATAGGCGCCGCCATATTTTCAAACAGTAACTTTATTTAACAGGTTTCCGAACAAATTTGCGAAATGGCGCAGCGGCTTAACTTGAACACCAACCAAAACATGACAGTCGTTTTATCATGAGTTATTTGATTTCCTGATTTAAAAACAGATTTTTGTTGTGTACTTTAAACTATGTCAGAGCAATATCGTGACATAATATTTTACTCCGACATAAAATAATATCCGCATCTTCTGAGATATTCTTCACATATCGATCAAACAGGAGTGCGGTGTTTTAATCAAATTAAGTAAATATATATCTTTTTTGTAAATCTAAGTTAACACAATGTGGAAATGTGTATTTGAACGCTAGTTTCTAACCGGACTTTCTATTGCTATCGGACGTTTGTTTCCAGGGGAAGTATTTTCCTGTGGCTCCATGTGTGACTACATGTGAGTGCAGCGATGGCAGGCCAGCGGAGTATAGAAGACACGGTGGAACGATGTCTAAAGCTTTTAAATACTAACACTGCACATCCCGAGATGTTTCTTAGGTAAGCTTAATACGAAGAGAAAATACTGTGCTTGTGTGGTTGACGATTATCTGTAGGTTTTGATTAAAAATGTTCAGTCAATAATGTTGCTTTGCCGATTGCCACCAACTATTCAACGATGCCAAATGAAGGTGTACAGGTCTATTCGAGTTATTTTGCATAGATCTTTATTGGATATCTACACCTATCTCAAAGTAGTACTAATAGTGTGGCTCAATCAAGCCTGACTAACTCTGAACTGTTTTGTGTATTTTTCTGATTCTTATACAGTGTTCAGGATGGACTGGCATCGGAATTCACTTCCCTCACAAAGACTCTGTATGATCTGCACAAGGCACATGAACCTGTGGAAACTAAGGGAAGCCCCCTGGAGCAGCTGATGGTCGAGAACTTTGATGAGGAGCAGATATGGCAAGAATTGGAGCTTCAGAATTTTCCCATTCTGAGGAACTTTGAGCTCATTGTTAAGAAGGCAACCAGTGACATGGATATTATGATGATTGAGGAAGACGAGGGCAAGAGTGAGGATGAAGTAGCTGAGGAAAACATCAGTGATATAGAGGAGGAATTGAGTGAGGAAGAGGAAGGGGAGGAAGATGATGAGCAAGTAGTGGAACAGAGAACAAAAGCCAAAAAGTCTTCATCCAGGGTTGTAGAAAAGTTCTCAGACGAGGATTCTGATGTGGACTTTGATGTGGATGCATTGGAGAAACAGACTAAGCAGCGGCAACAGATAAAACGGAAAACTAGAAGGGGAACAGGATTTGGTTCTGAAGTAGATGACAGGTTCTTCAAGCTTTCGGAAATGGAGGCTTTCCTGGAGGATGTGGAGAAGAAAGAAATGGATGGAGATGATGATGATGATAGTGAGATAGATTACTTCCAGGACATTCCATCAGGTGAAGAGGATGAATTGGACCTGGAAGAAGGTGTGATGGCTAAAAAGAAGAAGGTAACTTTCAGGCCCCCCTGCCCACATCCATTAGTCATTTCAGTTCTGAATATTAACTGTGGACTACAAATCTATACATTAATATTTTTTCCCGTTTCTGTTTGAGGAGTAATGATTGGGGGGGGGGGATTCTGATGCGTACAACTCACATGTATTGTTACACGCCTTGTGTTTATTCAGCAAAAGAAAAGTTCAAGAAACCTGAAATACAAGGACTTCTTCAACCCCATTGAAGAGGGGTTGACCAAGGCAAGCCCAGCAGAAGATGATGGTTTGGAGCTTGAAGATGATGAAGAGGGGGAAGCAACTATGCAGGAAGAGGAGGAAGATGATGATTATGATGATCAGGAAGAGTTTAATGAAGAGTAAGTGCTTAAATGTTGACATTTTTACATGATATTTTTAGATAAGCTAAGCCAAGCATCTTTATGCTAATAAATAAAATAGTTGTTTTGTTGGTTACCAGTGCTCTGCATTTAATCATACTTAATTCACCACTGCCATTTGTTTGACGCAGGAGCGTGCAGTCATAATATTTATATGAAAGCCAATATCCAGACTAACTGGCAATGCAAACTGCCTTCCATGTAGGGAAGACATGAGTGAAAATGAGGAGAGCCGGGAAGCCAGGGAGCCCTTGAAGAAGGTGACTTTTGATCTACCGGATGAAAGCGAGGGGGAGGAAATGGAAGAAATCTTTGGTGGGAAGAAACAGAAAGCAGAAGAGGAGGAGGGCAAGTCACCGTTTGAGAGACGACAAGCAAAGGTATTCACAAAGAGAGCCTTTGGTTTATTCTGTCGTAAACTAGCATTGTAATGGTGCTTCCATGATCTGTTTGGTTTTATTTGAATAAAAGGCAGATGAAATGCACCTAAGACAAATGTGTATNTTGTCACTGCTTAGAAAATTGTAGCGGTGGCTTCTGACATCCAAAAAAAGAGAGAAGGATTTAATAAAATAATTCCAGCCCTATCAGTGACCATACTGCACAGGAACATGGAGAGTGATGCTGTGCCTCTCCGTAGCTGAGAAGCGAGAAAGCGTCTCACCCGGCCGTTCTCCACAGATGGCAGAGAAGATCCAAGAGTTGGAGAAGGCTGCGCTGCAAGAGAAGCCTTGGCAGCTCACCGGCGAGGCGACTGGGCAACTGCGACCGGAGAACAGCTTGCTGCAGGAGGACTTGGAGTTCGACCAGGCTGCCAGAGTCGGTATGTCTCCAGCTCGCCTTTAGTGCTGCTCCGGAGGGCACCGCCTGCAGTCCGGCAGCGCTGCTCTAAAACCAATTCCTGGATAATTTACCCACAATCACTGGGCAAAAACAAGGTCCCAGCCCTTTGGGTCTGTGCACTCAAGGGATGCGGTAACCATGAAACTGCATTAAAAATTGTTTGATAATACTTTGTTTGTTTAATCTTTCTCACCTGTTCTCCAGCCCCTGCAATTACAGAGGAGACGACTTTAAAACTGGAGGATATTATCAAACAGAGAATAAAGGACCAGGTTGGTGCTTTGAGATCCTCACCTTGCCCACCCCCATCCACACAACCCTCTAAGAGTCCAGAGTGCCAGGAGTTAAAGGAGAATTATTCATAGAACAAATTGGTCTATTAACCATGGCTGAAAAGAAGGTTGGACGTTCCTGATTGAAGGGACTGCTTCTGACTTCTGCTTCTGGCCAGGTGTGGGATGATGTGATCCGCAAAGAAAAACCAAAGGGTGACGTGTTTGAGTACAAGAAGAGGCTGACCTTGGACCATGAGAAGAGCAAGCTGAGCCTGGCAGAGGTCTACGAGCAGGAGTTCCTCAAACAGACAAAGGTAACATCCTGGTATCTCTCTAGTACACTGAAGAACTTGCTCACGTCTCGCTTTTTCATTCTGCCAGTACCCCCCCCCCCCCTCCCATGATCGTCATTCTCACCACATGTGTAAATGATCTAGCAAAAGGTGGAGGAAGAGGAGAACCCAGCCCACGTGGAGATCCAGAAGCTTATGGACACTCTGTTCCTGAAGCTGGACGCTCTTTCCAACTTCCACTTCACGCCCAAGCCTGTGAGTGCACCGCCCCTGTGCTGTTTAAAGTTTGTTCCAGTGTGATTAAATAGGAAAACCTTTGGGCCAGTCAGCAACAGAGGTTCGATATGAGAGTGGGGGGTAATACATTAGCCTGTCGGACAAGAGCGCTTCCTAAGCCAAGCATGTCATTGCATTCGTTGTAGCCGGTACCCGAGGTGAAGGTGGTCTCTAACCTGCCGTCCATCACCATGGAAGAGGTCGCTCCCGTCAGCGCCAGCAGCACAACCCTCCTGGCTCCTGAGGAGATCAAGGTGGGTCTGCACCCCGGACATGGGTCTGTCGAGAAGGGCCTCCTGTTTCCATCACCTCATATTCCCCCTTTCCCAGGAGAAGAACAAGGCCGGCAACTTGCTCGGCGACTTGGAGAAGTCGGCCACAGATAAGAAGCGGGAGCGGCGGAAGAAGAAGAAGACGAAGCGCATCCGGCTGCAGGAGAAGGAGAAGCAGCGGAAACTGCGGGAAGCCAGTAAATCCGGGGAGAACAAGAAGCAGACGAAGGCTGAGGTGGCAGAGGGCCTGAAGAAGCTCACGAGAGGAGGAGGAGCGACTCTGCTCAAGGTGAGCGGCCCCTTCCCTCTGAAAACGGATCACGGTGAAAACTGTCCTATCCAGCATTTAAGTGACGGCACAATTCTGAAAAAAGCATAATAAGTAATAACACTATTAAAAAGTTACACTAAAAATAACAAAAAAACATGCCTTGACGAGCAGAACACTTGTAGTTTTCCTCTTGTTAAGCCATTGTTTACCTCGCCATCTCTTGTGTTGCATTGAATATCCAACTTAATTTGAAGCATGTGTATAAAAATATTCAAGAGTAACGTCCAGCAGTCTGGTAGAGATGCACGTTGCCGTTAGGTGATCAGTTTATTGATCATTTTCCACATCTGTGCCCCACTATTATCCAGCAGTGAAATGCGGTCAATCGCCATGCCGCTTCGGCCCAGCTGGTTTACGTGTTTGTGTTTTGCCAAAACAGAACGACGGGAAGGACAAGGCCCTTCAGTCCTCTAAGGCATTCTTCTCACAACTGCAAGATCAAGTGAAGATGCAGATCAAAGGAGCGAAAGACCAGGCTTCCAAGAAGAAGAAGCAGAAGGAGATTTCAGCCAGCAAACTCAAATTGTAACGGTGCTGTGCTTGGAACATGTTTTTTGTATAGCTAACTTTTTGATTTTTTTTAAATTTTTGTCTGTACATGTACCATTGAAGATAAACACAATAAATACAATTTGTGAAAGGACACTGTCCAACTTAAGACTGTTATATACAGATTTGTCATTGATAAGAGACTTAGTGTTGGTTTATGGATTTGATTGTGCTTTTAACTAATGGCCTCAAACCATTAAAATGCATTTTTTGACAACATACTTGCTGGGCTTTCAACAGACCATATCATAGAAGTTATGTGTATCATATCAGGGCATATTGTAGTTTTTAGTGTAAAATCTGACTATATGTAACTTATGTGCATTTTATTTGTTATTGTTATTTTTAATAAAGAGGCAAACAGTCTTTATCGAAAGAGATATCCATCCACACATTCTACTTATCTTGTTAAGTGAGGGGCAGAGGGCTGGCTGGATGAGGTTCCAGTCAATTGCAGGGCAATCACACATTATGGGCAATTTAGAGATGCAAAATAATCCAATTGTCGTTGGACTGTAGGAGGAAACCTACGGGACACGGGGAGAAACAGCAAGCTTCACACACACTAAGCAGAACTGAAATTCTAACCACCCACAAAAAGTGCAATGTCAACACTACGCACTGTAAATATTTTTAGCGTTGAAAAACAAATTAAACGTTCCTTCTGAACATTGTGGTCTTCATATTCATAATTTTCCTCCACTGTCTAGTAGCAAATGAATATTTAGGCTGCTTGCTTACGAAACCATACCGTATTATCAGGGATGGTCAGCCTGTCCGTTACATGCACAAACGGGTCCTTCAATTTTAAACAAAGTATCCGTCAGAATTCGGCACAGCATATCATCCTTATTATTACTAAATCCGTCTATCAAACGCAATCTTGAAAAGATCATCGGGATAATTATTTAACGCTAAGTACTAAATAAAGCATTTAAGAACCGACTATCCCGTATGTTTTTTAAAACTGCTTATGTAGGCTGCATGAACATGTAAAAAATAAATTGATAAATAGCTATTCATTGAAACGCCCGGCTGTTTAAACTGTTCGATTACAAGCTCGATTGCTGTGGTCTAGACAGGATGCTGCGTTTGACTACTTCTGCCTTTTAGTCAGATAGCGGGATTAATGTTTGCTTTTGCGCACGATATGATCAGCCGGATAAACGGGACGTTTCTGTACGTGCACATCAGGGTAAAGTTATACATTTCAAGACACATGTTACTTTTCTAAAATGTTTTTACTATAGAGGACCGAAAGCCAGTCTGTATGATACTGCATCACATACAAAAGAGGACATTAAAGTTGCTATGTCTTTTGATCCAGGTTGTTTTATTTGCCAAGTACTGTAGTTAAGTGAAATGACGAATATCAGATTTTTCGTGGCAGCAAATACGTGTTTGTACTCGAACTCACTAAAATTGTAGATTAATACCGGAGCTGTATCGTAAGTATTTGTTCTTTAGCGCGGTTTATTAAACGAATGGGACAGAAACTTACCTTAAAGAGAGGGCACTTTCTTGACGCGGTTAGGTTTTATGGCCGAGCGACGCTCGTCTTCGGCTGTCAACAAGAAGAAACCCCAGGGGAGATTATCACTGACGAAAAAGAAGCGGGGAAGCCGAGATGATGGCTGTGCTCCAGCAGGCTCCATCTCCTCGTTTTTCAAAAATGCACCGCCGGCCAAACTGGCCTGTCCCGTGTGCGGCGAGATGGTGCCTCGATTCTCCATCAACGAGCACATCGATACGAGCTGCCAGCGCTTCCAGCGAGGATGCGAACAGCAGGCCATCCCTGTCACCTCTGCTCATGAAACACTCCTTCACTCCTCAACTCAGGACACCAGTGCTGGCAGTGACCCGGCCGGGAGTCCACATGCCGAGGAGAAGAGCCAGTCCACCAGTCCTTATTTTAAGAAGCAGGCGACAGTGCAGTTACACGAAACCAAAGAGAATCCTGCAGATAAAGTCATTCGGACTGTTGATTTAGGGAGTTTGGCCTCAAAATTGTCCAGAAGGCGTCTGCAGTTCTCTGTGAGTGTGGACAGATCTTGCGCTGAGGCTGCCCCTCAAAACAGAACCACTTTTGAAGACACAAATAGCAGCGATAACATTGGTAATGTTGAGGTACATTTGACTAGTGACACAGACTTGGTTCCTAAAGCTGCTATTCCTCAGGGCAGGGGGGTGGGACCCCCTAAGAAAGAGGCGACACCCATGTTTCTCCCTCCAGTGGAGGTCACCTCAAAGCCCCTTGCTGCCTCTTCGCGGCTGAGTAAAAGGAAAGCGGGGGGATCAGGCAGGGGAAGCCGAGCCCAGAGCTCGGATAGAGCAGCAGCCCTTGATTGCAGCAAGAGGCCGAGGCACGATGGGGTGGGCATCTCTGCACCTATGGAGAACCCTCAGCTACCCCATCGAATCCACACTCTGGGCACTGATCCCAGCCCCAGCACAGCAAAAGAGGTGCTGGCCATGGAGGATGGCACAGCGCCGGGTACTGTGCAAGCCCAGCCAGAGGTGTCTAGCGCTGACCAGAGTGTGGAGGAAGCGGAAGGGAAAGGAGAGTCACCTCGTCTACCGTACTACCTCCGCAACTTCCTGATGGTGCTGGAGACGGTGATGGAGAATCCAGACGACAGGCTGCTCTTCAGTGAGGAGGACCTTGGGGTAGTCCACACCTTCAAACAGCTGTCAGGTATCCCTGTAAAACAAACCCTGTGTAAGATCCTGTAAACGCCCCAAGCTTATTCTATAGTGCAGTATGTAACAATCCTCACGCAGCCAGCTGACCTTGGACCACCAGAGGTTTTTGGTTCCTCTCCTCTATTGTAATCTGACTTTCTTTCATTCCTTTGTCTTTCCTTTTCCCAGTTTTTTGTGTTATTCTGTTTTAATGATGTTGTATCACAACACAGCCATGTTAAGGGCCTTGGGCTGACACTGTTGCGAAAGGCGCTATATAAAAATGAATTGCATTGAACATAATATCGTTTGCATTCCTGCTCATGGTCATACGTCCTGATGCAGTGCCCCCTTGCTTTTCCTGGGCCTCAAACCCCAGCCATGGGCCAGATGCTGTACGTGCGTCTGTTCCAGAGGAAGCTCCATTGGCTGAGAGTGAGAAAGCTGGACTACGCTGAGATCGGACCGGAACCGAGCGCGGTGGTGCAGGAGCTGGCGAGACGCAGCCTGGTGGAGACCGGTGAGCACAGGGCAGCTGAGAGAAGCGCTACGCTAAATGCTAACTACTCATAGTCGGTGGCTTTGATGTGCTGATTAAGAGGAGCACATTGTAGTGACCAGTCACATGCACAAGAGAAGATAAACTATTAAATGGGCTAAGTGATAATATGATGACACTTATTTTGACTGTGCATTTGCTAGTGAACTTATTTAATTGACTAAGTAATACTCCTAATTATTTATTTATTGCAGGTTAAAATGGTCTTAGTATCAATCAATGCTTATTAATCGTTCATGTAGAAACGATAAAGGAGCATGAGTGCACCATGTTGTTTGCAGTCATGGGGGGGTGAGGGACAGTCACGCTCGGCGACACTGAGCAGTGCAGGCCTGACGCTGACAGCGTGACACTGTTTTCCCGTCGCCTGTATTGCGCTGGTCACTGTGTGCCCTCACACTGCAGAGAACGAACTGGCCGACCTGGGGGAGGCGCTGGACCTGCTCCCCGCCCCAGAGCTGAGGGGCCTGGCTAAGACCTTCCACCTGGGGGGGGCCGGGGCCCAGAAGCAGCAGCTGATGGAGGGCCTTCTGCGGCTGGGCCGACAGCGCTCGCTGTTCGCTGCGGCGGGGGCGGGAAAGGGTGCTGCGGGGGCTGCAGCTGTGATGCTCAAGAGGTGAGGGCTGGGGGGGCAGGATCCATACAGGGCTATTTATAGCTGGGGTGGCCAATTTCCTCGCACTCCCCCGACTCATTCAAAATCATTACCCCCCTCGCTGAAGCATACTCAGCCAGCAGGTCCCCCCTCATCTGGTTCCACCACCCCCCCCCCCCTTCTGGTTCCGGCAGGGCAAAGGCACTGGTGGGGCCGTGCGTGCGTGTGTGCCGGGGCCCCCGGGCCGTCTTCTCCCGCCTCCTGCTCCTCTTCTCGCTCAGCGACAGCCTGGAGGAGGAGGAGGCCGGCTCGGGGGGGCATGGGCAGCTGTACACCATCCTGCTGGTGAACTCCGGACGCCTGGCCTTCCCTGCTTACACTGTCCAGCGGAGGGCCAGGGTTTTCCAGGACAGGGATGATCTCATCAGGTGAGGCTGCTGGGGACGGCCTGGTGGGGGCGCTATTTTCTGTGTCATTACTACTATGCTTTTCATGACGGTTTTATAGACAGATCATCAAAGGTGCCATAGAAATGTGACCCCCTGCAGTAATTACGCCTCCTCTGCCTGTGATCAGAGCCATCTCCCTGCCCCAAGTCACTCATCCAGGCTTCTTAAGCATCCTGCGATATTGGCCTTTGAGCCAAGCAGTGTCTGAAGACAGGGTCTCAAATCCCCTATCAGGCTGCAGGGGGCAGTGTTGAGTACAGCCTTCATTTTTACCTTGATTGTGCTGACAATCGAATGAATTGCAAATTACGGAACACATTAAACCAGCCAGCCTACATTAGGGCTTGATGCCTTCATGTCAAGTCAGCGTTAGCATATCGTGGGGACAAGATAAATGGAAATAGATTAATATTTTTGCTCATTAGATCAAATGCAGTAATTAACGATTATTACCGTTTACTGAGAAGAACCTTCTAGTAGGCTATGAATGAGAGCCAAATTATTCTTAAAATGAGACTGATTATATCTAAGGGAATAGGGATTGAAACAGATTAATTAAAAGATTTGGTTTAGCATCAATAAAAACCTTATACAGAATCCTCAGCCAGCACGTGTGTTTTGACATTATATAAACCCTGTTGTTCAGTCTGGGAACAGCTCAGTTAAAAAGAAGTTTGGAGTTTAGCTAAAAGACAAAATGAAGTTTAAAACACCAGTCTGTGTTTCCTAAGAGTTTGCAGTTGAAGCGATTTACCTCTGATTACAGTGAATATGCGTTCTGGGGAGCCGACCGTAGCGAGCTTGTTAGTTCTGGATGCCGTCTCTGCCAGGCCTGTCGAAGGCCTTCGCTGGCTGGCTTAGCAGTAGCAGGAATGAACGCGAGCAGAAAGCTGTGTGTGGGACACCGAGCTCCGAGGGACGGCTGCTGACAGACCCCACTTGGCTTCTGCCGTATTTAGGTACGAGGGCGCCGTGCGCAGTCTGCAGGAAGTGGGCGTGGCCATGCAGGGGGGCAGCTGGGACGAAGCCCTGGGCCTTTACCTCACAGCCAAGGCCGCGTGGCAGGAACAGAGGACCAGCTTCTGCCTCAGGTGAGACGTGCCGCCTGCAGAAGCCGAGCGCTCAGTACCCACTGCGGCCCGCGTATAAATGTCAGCTGGCTAAACGGGGCCTGCGGGAGGCGCTGTAACAGACCACTGGGGAATCTTCTGTTTCCTTAAGGCACCAGGAGGAGCTGCCTCTGTTTCTGCGCTGCTTCACAGCCGGCTGGGCATACACCCGCATTCTGTCCCGGGGGGTGGAGATCTTGCAGAGGCTGCGGCGATACGAGGCAGGTGGACGCCCACGCGTACACACTCGCATGCCCACGCACCAGGCCCCATGCGATTTAAGCCAGGTGGCTTCTGCACCCACACACAGGATTCTGGGTGATGCTGACAGTGTTTGCCGGCACTCGGTGGCACTCTGGCTTTTTGTAGGAGGCGGTGGAGGAGCTGAGATCCCTGTTGTCCCAGACACTGTACTGTACAGACAGCAGAGGGCGCTGGTGGGACCGATTGGCCCTTAACCTGCAGCAGCACCTCAAACGACCTGAGCAGGTAATATGGGCCCTTGAATCAGACTTAAAATGCTAAAACGGTGTTTTCCAATCCAGTCCTCAGGCACCTCCAGACACATTTTTGCTCCCACCCACCCCGAACCAGGTATTCTTGATTGTTTGCTTGTTTGGTTCAGGTATGCTGGGACTGTTGTGGATTGTCTGGGGGTCCTGGAGGACTGGTCTGACAAACACTGCTGTGAAATTCCACCACCGCACTAGAGTTTGACATGCATGGGGCAAAAGTTACAGATCAGTCAAACTATAATACTGTAATTCACTGCTGGAGCCTTTCAGCTTTATTGATTCACAGGGTCTTCTCTGTCTCTTTCCCCTTCTCTTTGCCTCTCTCTCTCTCTCGCTTCCCCACCCCCCCTGAAGGCCATCAGTACCATCCGGGACGGCCTGACGGACCCACTGGTGCGGACGGGCCACCGGCTCTCGCTGTACCAGCGCGCCATGCGCATGAGGGACTCTCCGGGCTGCAGGCGGTTCCGACTGTTGCTGCGTGACCTGCCCGCCGTGGTGGTGACGGACGTGGCGCATGTATGAGGCTCGCCACACGGGGCAGCGCAGGGCCACACGGGAGCGTTAACGAAGGCCCTGTGTTTTTTTTGATTGATTGCATCTGCTTCACGTATCTGCATTCTCAGCTGGGGCAGCTTCTACACTGTTACTACTTGGCTGCAGTCTCTGTGCTGTCAGGGCTGGTCTCAGTCTCAAAACATGCTCAGGCGTGTCCAGGCAGTCGGACTGCATAGGGTGCGTTTGAGCACACTGACCGAGGCCCCCCTACATCCACTCAGGTGACCATCCGAGGGCAGTTATTTCCACATGCGGGAGGCATGGGCAAGTCCGTCTTCTTAATGCCTGCGGACGAGGGGGATGAGGACAGCGGGACCGCGGAGAGCGGTCGCTCTACTGTCATGTGCTCCGTGGAGGAGCTGGCCCTCGCACACTACCGGCGTCTTGGGTACGACCAAGGTGGGTCCCGTCGGCTTGGTCAGCCATGCCTGATACGTAGGTATACGTTTATAAAAATTAGTTGAAATTGGTAATTTACAGGTGATTCTGAGAAGAGAAAAAAAAAGTAAATTAGTCCTTTTTGCTGTACCAGACGGTCCATTGGATAGCAGAATACAAAGAATGTAACTGAAAAAGATAAACATTTCGGCGGCATGTAGAGCATTTTGATTCATTGGGTCTTTTTGGAGCAGGAATTCATGGAGAGGGTTCCACCTTCTCCACATTGTTTGGCCTGCTGTTATGGGACGTCGTTTTCATGGACGGCATTCCTGACGTCTTCCGGAATCCCTACCAGGTAATGAACGCTCACGGGATCGGCACGCCGTCCGCGATCCGGGGCCGCGGTGTAACCCCGCGTTGTCCCCTCCCTCGCAGACCTGCCCGCTGGACCTTCACACCGACAGCTTCTACGAGAGTCGCAGGGAGGCGGTGGAGGCGCGGGCGCGGCTGCTGCGGGGGGCCTCCGTGGAGACGCTGCACGGCCTGCTGGGAGAGACGTGGGACGCCCAGCAGGGGAGGGTCTGCGTGCTGGTCAACTGGGAACGCTTCTCCTCCCTGCAGCAAGCGCAGGTACCCGACCCGGAACCCGGCTCCCGCACGCCTTGCTGTCTGCCCTGTCTACCCTTAACTGCCTTTGAATCAGAGCAGTCATGCAAACCCCTTATAAAGGCTTTGAGGTTCAGCTGCAGTCTGACCCACCAACAGCATAAGAACAGGCATAAACGGTGAAATGCGTTTGCGCCCCTTGCCCTCCGTGGGGGGGCCGGCCACCAGGGCTCACGTCTGCTCCGCGCTCGTTTGGCAGAGCCTGGTGACCTGCCTCAGGGGACCCTTCCTGGCAGGGCTGGTGCAGCGGATGGCCCAGGATTACAGGCACTGTCGGGGCGGCCTGCCCGACCTGGTCGTGTGGAACACTTGCAACAGCACGTATAAGGTGAGGTCACATGACCAGAGAGGCGCCCTGCGATTGGTCAGATCAAGCAAATGAACCGTCAACCTGAAATATGTGTGGATGTAAGGCTCTCATCCACGATGACCAAGTGTGAGCCCGGCGATCTTTGGTTTACTTGTCTTCTTTCAGCTGGTGGAGGTCAAGGGTCCCAACGACCGGCTCTCCCAAAAGCAGCAGATCTGGCTGGACGAGCTCCGTAAACTGGGGGCAGAGGTGGAGGTGTGCCACGTGACGGACGTCGGCGCCTTGGGGGCGTGCCGGGACTGAGCTGCTGCGGGTCTGCCACCCGACCCGGCCCCGGGAGCGCCGATGCCCCCCAGCTGGACCGAGAATGAGGGCTAACAAACACTACGAAGAGGCGGGGCAAGCCTTCCGGCTCCCTGTCCGACATACCTCAGCTGAATCCACTACGGGATGCGCAAACATGTCCTCTGTACTCCTTCTGAATAGTGCTGCTGTTGCAATAATTCGAAAACAAAGTTAACCATGAGATAATAAAAGAGATGCCAGTTAATGTTAAAACCGTTTTTATTTCACATCAGACCATGGTATTAAATATTAGACAGGATTCATACATGGTGGCTGCAGAAACAAACCAAGCATCTCTCACGCATCATCCCTGCGAGATCGGGATGAGAGGGACCCCCATCTCCATAACTCAGACACCCCCCCCAGCACTGGCCCAGATGGGCCCGGCCCCATCCACAGTGCCCTGAGCGGGCAGACAGGATGCTTTTGCAGTGGCGCTCACTGGACTGCTGCTTTCTGTCCAAAGCGTCCATCTCACTGCTTTATAACAGTTAGTGTCATCATCTAGAACACATCCAACAAAAAGCTGGCTCAAGTCGTTCTACACAAACGTTAGAAAGTTAAGGTAAAGTCAAATTAAACTTGTCAATAAAAGCAGCAGAACCTTTAAGTTAACCAGAACAATTTAAGACCAACACCACCAGTGGACCTTCAAAGATGAGAAGTGATGGACAAAACCCGCTTGGGATTAATGCTAGTGACTACCAAAGTGTGGACAAGGGGAACAACAACAAAACCCAATCAAAGGCATCCAGCTGTGAACTACGGGCACCCCAGCAGCCTGGAAGGGGACCCCAAGGGGGACACTCGAGCAGCCTGGAAGGGGAACCCACGGGGGACACCCCAGCAGCCTGGAAGGGGACCCAATGGGGGACACCCCAGCAGCCTGGAAGGGGACCCCACGGGGGACACCCCAGCAGCCTGGAAGGGGACCCCACGGGGGACACTGCAGCAGGCAGCCGACATCCTGGGCAGCGCGGTTTTCAGATAGGAAGTGGTCAGGTTCAGCAGCAGCAGCAGCCTTGGCAGGTCTGCATGACGTCTGAGCTCCTCCCAAGCCAACAGCCCAGGTCTCATTTCATACAGGCGTAAGAGCTGGATAAATATGGGCCAACGCAGGGAAACTAAGGGTCTTCTATTCCAAGTAACACTAAGTTAGATTTACATCTTAATTACTCAGCAGGTGCTTTTACACAAAAGCAGGATCCCTGGAGCAACTGGGGGTTAAAACGATCTTACTCAAGGACCCGAAAGACTAATGACACTACTGACCCAGGGATTCGAACCGGCAACCTTCCGATCACAGGCCCAGCGCTATGACTCACACAGCACACCTTCTGAGGTTTGCTACCCGGGGATTCAATTTCTTTCAAAATATGCTGCATTTCATGAGCCCAGAACTGACCCATCCATACGGGTCAAAAACAATATAAGAGAAAGTCTAATTACCAACAGAAACCTGGCAACTGTGAGGGGAAAGTGTGCAGTAAGTATAAAAATGTGCGATTTCAGCTATTTGTGCAAACACCACCAACAAAAAAGAACAGCACAGCTATGAGAAACATTTCTGCCCTTCACCTTGACTCCTCATCAGTTCTCCTTCACCGCCAAAACCTGAAAGGTCCTCCGGTACACCATGAGCCAGGCCGCTGCAGTGATTCAAGTTGTCCAGTTGATGGTGCTCTAGAGCCCGGCCCCGCTGAGGAGCTTGCTGAGTGGGGTTCCCAGCGTGCTGGGCCGGCTTAGGTTCCCCACTGGGGAGAAGGGAAATGAGGAGCTTAGGTACTCAGGCTGTTGGGGGGGACCGGCCAGGGGCCCCGTCTTGAAGTACATCTTGCTTTGCTCCGATGGCATCCTGTGGGTGAGTCCCGGGTCGGGACTGCCAGGGGGGAGTCCGGGGGGTGTGGAGGTGCCCCCGTACTGCCGCAGCCTGGCCTGCAGAGTCTCGATCTCGTCAACCAATAGGGATAATCTGTGGAGGGCTGTGATTGGGCCGCCCCGGGCGATGCGGGCCTCGGAGACCCAGCGCAGGAAGTAGAACCTCCACAGCTGCAGGTGTGAGGGCAGCAGCTCGGGCAGCAGCAGTCCGTGGGGGTCGGCGGGCCGCGATAGCCAGTCCCGCACGAAGCACTGCGAGGCGCTATCCGGGCTGTCGGGCTGCGCGGGCGTCTCCGAGCCGGAAAGCAGCCGCAGCACCAGGGAGTTCCGCCGCGGGAGGGTGGCGTGCGCCCCCAGCACGCCGTTCTGCATGGACGCCGTCCCCCGGACCATGGAGCTATAGATCTTCGGCTGGAGGCGGGATGTGACAGGAAGAGTAAGCGGCCCCCATCGCAGTAAGACCGAGAGCGACTCGCCAACGTGCTGTCGGGGCGGGGCTCACCTTGGCGCGTCTGAAAGTCCTCACCCCCCCATTCTGCACACGTGCAGCCACACCCTTGCCCACATACATGGGGCTGTTAAACAAAGTCTGGTCCCTCAGGCTGAACTGCTGTGACCAGTCCCACACTGGGGGGAAGCGGACGGCCCTGTCCTCCCCCTGCTGCCCGCTCTGGGTGAAATCCTAGGAGGAGAAACAAAAAAAAAAATCAGCCACACTGTAGACCCCCACCCCAGTCAAGACTGCCGTAAAACGTAAAGCCCGGTGAATCAGGAGCTGGGGGGGGCGGGGCTCACTTGGCTATACTCCGCCCACTGACGGGGGCAGTTGAAGAGGAAGGTGCTGAAGACGGGGATCCACATGCTGTCACACAGCACAGCCAGGTAGATCTCCGTGAATTCGAAGGCGGCGGGGTGCTGGCGCATCAGCTGCCACACGCAGTCCAGGAAGAGGAGGAACATGGGAGACTGAGGAGAGACATGGGGGGTCAAAGCTGCTCCAGAGCATCTCGGCATGACGCCGCAAGTGGAATTCCTTATGACTTCTTTACATGTGTAGCTGCATGTTTAGCTAAGCGATTCAGGCCGACCGGCCCTGAGGTCCAGCCGCACCTCCTCTCCTTCGCTCCTCTTCAGGTGGTTACATCGGTCCAGGAACCGGTGGCCCCCCATCACCCACTCCTTCTGCACCAGGCTCTGGAAGCCCACCAAGCTGCGGAAGTGGGGGTCCAGCATCAGCTGAACCAGGCAGGAGATCACGCAGCTCAGGTCCCGGTCCTCCTCCTCTGTTGCAGAATGGGGGGGGGGCTGAGGCAGTCAGACAGGAGGTCTGGGAGGGGGGTAATGACTCCACAGCATGGCAGAGATGAAGAGCACTGGCTTACCTTGCAGGATGACGGACACGTGTTTCCCCTCCAGCATGTACACCACCTCCACTGACTGCTGCAGGAAGGCCCTAGGCACCAGGACAGGAAGTGATGTCGTTTACACAGTGATTCTCTGGGTTACAAAAGGGGTATAGCATGTACTCGGGGGTGTAGGAACCAGGGGGTCTGCGGGAAATGTGGACCACTGAGTATTTAATTTGGCTTCACCCCCTCCGCCCCCCAAAAAAAACACAGATCTTGACATTTTAATTATTAAGTTGTGCCCCCAGTATCAAACTCCCTTCTACGACACCACATACACTCATTAAAAAACCACTCTGGTGGTCTGTACAAACATACATACATACATGTCTGTGTGGTATGTATGCACACACATTATACTTCTGTATACCATAGATCATCTGATAAAAATATCTACAAACACTGAAGCAGCAAACTTTGACACAAGTACTGATTTTCATATTCTCAAAACTTTTGGCCCCGGCTGTACACCCCCAAACAGCTCCCTCCTGGTAGCGCAGCATAAAAATTTTATGCCGTCTATCCCAGCTAAACTCAAGATAGAGAGTGACGGCCCTGTGCCTACCTGACATTGTCCAACCATCCCGTGCTCTCTACAGACGACAGCCACTTGTCCTCGGACTCCTGGTAGGGCCCTGTTGACAGGAAGCCTGTCTGAGTGGCCGGAGTGTGCAGTGACGGCTGAGGCACTGGTATTCAGGTTTGAGAAATGGGACACTCATGCCCTTAAGCACAGCTGTAATGCTAATTCCAGTGGCGAGTGTGACACAGCTCTTCCCAGGGTGCAGGCACGCATGCTGTCAGAAGGCTTAAACCCACAAACCACAGGCGATAAATGCACGCACTGCAGAGTCTTCCTCCAGAGTCAAACTTCGACATTTCTCACTCAAAGAGACTTTAATACTGCAAGTTGCACGAGAATCATGCGATTGCGCAGCTTTTCAGCCGAGCTCCTTAAACAGCATGCCCCCTTGTGCCACACCTGGAGCACTGCGCCATTCCCCTCAAGCCAGGAGGCGGAGTCACAAGCTCACCAATTGCACAGAGCTGCCTCAGTCTGACAAAGGAGGCCCGGACATCCCGGATGCTGGGCAGGCTCCTGTCCAGGTGGACCTTGTGCGCACTGCTGCGTTTCGGGTGGCTCTTAGTGATAGCGTTGCAGACCCTGAGCAGAGAGCGAGGCTGCTGTTACTTGACCGCAGCATTTACATCCACCTTCGGTTTGGTGCCGTTAGACCCTTCCCGCTTGCCGTACCTCTGCTCCAGCTTCCTCTGCTCTGCCACGTCCCTGATGCCGGCTGTGCGCACAAGGGCGCTGCCGTTCAGGTGGTTCCAGCACCACAGCTGGAGAGGTAAGAGGCAGCGACACACGCGAGTCAGGTCTCCATGGAAACACAGTTTGGAGGAAGGGGCACTAGCTGCACCTGAGTGACACAGGGCACAATGCAGACTCACTGGGAGACGCTGGCCCACGAAGGAGCAGGACAGCTGCTTAAGGTCCTGATCTGCCAGCGATGCAGGAACCACAAAGTGCTCTGGGAGGCTGTGGGGAGGAGCCACGCAGGATGGCACGTTAGACACGCAGGATGGCACGTTAGATAGGTGTCAGGTACCCCGCGATGCATGCCGACCCCTGACCTGGGAGAGACGGCATAGCCCTCGTTGACAGAGCACACCCTCCACTCGGTCGCTCCAGTGCGCTTGACCTCCCGGTCCCAGTCAGAGGGGCAGATGAAGAGTGGGGTCTGCAGCCGCCCCCCGTGCTCACCTGCTCGCACGCCGCAAAGGGGTGCATGTCAAGCCACATTCTGACACCACACGGACTTTTCACTTTATACATCAGGACTGGGGTCATTTTGCTATCATACGACTGACTGATTACATAAACACTGTAGAGGTCCGTTATCAGCTCGGATCTCACTCGCTGTGGTGCACATTTCTTTAGTGAAACTGCGGGGGCTCTCACTCGGCACTGTACCTGCGGGAGGGCGGTACAGCTTCCCCACGTACTCAAAGCCAAAGAGCAGCCGGGGATCTGTGGGTTGGGCGTAGTGGGCGATGGCCAGGCACACCTGGGGAGGGATCGGGGGGGAGGCGGTGACAAGCAGCGGTCAAGCGCAGCGAGCAACAAATCCAAATCCAAACGTTAGCCAGGAAAGACAGACGTCAACAAACAGCCGCGAGTGTTCATGACCCACCAGGAATCCTTAGCTCAGTACTGACCCTACCTAACCCTAACCCTCAATTACCCGCCTTGTAGAAAATCAGTTTGTCAATCTTGCTGTTGGCAACATCCGTCGCAGCATTCTGTAGTTACAATACCACGATAACGTCTCTGTACAGGAAGGTCAAAGACTCACATGACCAGAGGTGGAAATTTCAGGTCCAGAAAGTACAAATCCAGACCATGATTTAGTTTCAACCAACCAGTTTAGCATAAAGAGTCACAGTCACAGAGTACTCCACTGGTTGGTTGAAACAAAATCCTGGTCTGGATTTGTACTTTCTGGACCTGAAATTTCCACCTCTGCACATGACCTCTGATGCCTTGTTATTTTTGGTCGGATCCGTGACCCTGGAACCTGGCTGCACAGGCCTGAGCTCACCTGCCCATATTGCCTCACTCGGGGCTTGCTGACTTAGAACAGGGACGCCGAGGGCTCATTCAGTAAATGTTTCAAGCTGGGCGTTTAGGAAGGCAGGCGGGATGGAGGGGGAGGTGCTACTCTCTAAAACAAAATCCCACATTCACAAGATTTATTTCACTGAAGTATTGAAAGCAGATGCAGCGCTGAATCACGCGGCTCATCTCTCCATGCAATACATGACGACTTGATTCTGATCCTGCGGAAGATGGAGCAGAGATGGTCTGTAACCATAAAGGCAGCATTTATCCAGCTATGAAAGCAGGCATAAGTCCTCTGGGGAGGCGAAGGCCTGCAGCATCTTGGCACTTACACATAGGTGGTTAACCTGCCTTAATTAGACGCACGGATGTAGGAGTTTATATAACACGTATTACAGCAATTACATAAGACGCGGATATTCTGGCCTTCCTTCAAAGACAGGAAGCCAGAAGAAGTGCAGTGTTTACAGAGCTAATGTCATTATGGCAGCGAAAGGCCGAGCGGCACAGCGAGAGATGGTCTGTACAGCAGAGGCAGCAGAGCGGCCCCGTGGAGCCTCATCGGAGAGCAGCACAAAGCCTCCCATTCAGGGCCGGATGGTGCGACAAAGCGTAGTGGGGGGAGAGAGAGCGGGACCGGAGGCCGGCCGCTCCCAGCTCTGTCATTTACTGGCATATAATGGGACGTCACACATTTCTTTCATTCCATCCATCACCAAGAAAAACAAAGCAATCATTACAGGGGAAAAAAAACAAAACATTTTTTTGGTCGAGTGAGAACTTGCATTTCAGCCTGCTGCCCTGCCACCAGGGGGCAGTCTGGAGAGCTGAAGCAAAACAGTGAGCCACAGGCCACAGAGACCTGGCTGAATCTTACTGTCAATGACAACAACACAGTAATACGGAGGTCTGGGGACCTACGCAGCTCCTGGCTTCCTCCGCTGAGTAAATATCGCACCAGAGACCCCTCAGCTCAGCAGAGAGGCCCCCACTTGGAACACGCACCACCTGATTGTGAATTCACCCCCAGCACACATCTGAGAATTTGGCACTCTTGGAAGAGACGTGCGAGTGACTTACTCTGAATGTTCAGGAAGGAATAACTGAATAGACTTTCTGTTCTGCTGTATTTCTCATTTCTCTGCCCCCCCTCCCTTTATGGGGCTTCACACATTCACAGAAACCAGCAAATTCCACTGGGGTGGGGCTCTGGCTCCATGCCCGCTGGCACGTGCTCCTTCGGATTTTCCAATATGAGCTCAGCTTTCCCGAGCACGGGATTTCTGCAGGTGAGCCGTTTAAACAACATTTCCAAATGTCTGGACTATGCCCCAATTATCTGTTTGTGAATCCCACATAAAATAATCAAACAAAATAGAAACTTTTTCAGATTTCTGGGCTGTAGCCAAACGCAGGAAGCCTGAGAGATTATTTAAAACAAAGGACGTTCATTGCGAGCAGCTGGGATGCCGTTGGCCAGCTGAACATGCTCCGCGGACCTCCTCAGGAGCAGGGCCTGCAAACAAGAAAGCTGAGCAAGTGCATCGCTTTCACGATTAAGTGGCCAGACCATAGTTTTCAGAGCCCGAGTCTGAAATGTGCGTTACTTTATCCGTGAGAAGCTCACTGGTGAGTATTAAGCGCTGATGGTGATCTGGCTTTCTTCAAAGGCCTTGGAAGACTGGACTGCACCTGATCTTTACAAGAATACAATTCAAAGATGGTCCCAGGTAAGAACTTGCTAGACCTGGCATAATGCAAATCAACAACCAGATCAACCAAGAAAGGGAATATTAGCACAGAGACAGACACAATCTGAAGGGTAGGACTGTAGGGCTTCCAGTGAAGGACCATCTGCTCGGGATAAACATGTTTCAGGCTCTCCCAAGCAGACAGTACAGGATCTGGCTGCTCCAGCACATTGGCTAGCCAGACTGGGAAGCAGATCAGAAGGGATGGACTCCCGCTGTCATTAGTGGGGTGGGAGCCGGGGCAGACTGAGCTCTCTTTTGGGGGGGGGGGGGGAAATGAGGGTAATGAGATTTGTAAAAGCATTCTGGGATACGCAAGCAGATCCAGAATGAGGGAAAATCCTGATTCACAGGCAATGTCCAGCTAACAGAGGAAGTGCAAAATGATTCTTCACATTATGTAGATCAGTGTTTCACAATCCAGTCCTTGGGGACCCACAGACAGTCCACATTTTTGTTCCCTCCCAGCTCCCTACCAAGGAGCAAAAACATGGACTGTCTGGCAAGGAGCTGGGAGGGAGCAAAAAGGTGAACTGGCAGTGGGTCCCTGAGAACTAGACTGGGAAATACTGATGTAGATTACCGGTTGCACAGTTCGTAATGAGGGTGTGGTTTAGCGAGATAAGAATTTATTACGGAGACACCCCTTATTCACGTGATTTTCTTGTGACCTTACATCTAAACTTCACCCGATTCTAAAGACAGACAAGGTGGACATTTGGATTCTGCCGGCGGACGCCTACCTTCCTGCTGCTTTCGGGGCCGGCCTCATCGAAACGGAACCGCAGGACGCGCAGGTCCTTGCAGTAGAGGACCAGCTCGGTAGGGCTGAACTTCAACTTTCGATTGGATAACAGGACCTTCTGCTTCCCCTTCGCTTCATTCACTGATGTGGGGAGAAGCTGATTGGTTAAGATGCAGATGATACTAGTAAACCTACATTATTAAGAGTTTAACACATCATCTTGATTTAAACTACAGATGACCTCCTTGGTACCATAGAACTAATTACGGAACCAATGATTTGTAATTACAAGCAAGATTTCAGCTGTGGCACCACCTCGCTGACCGCAGGCACAAAGAGAACCCGTCAACCGCTGAGGTTCATTTTCTTTTGGTCTCTTTCTCCCACACATGTAATTGTGTAACTTGCCTGTGACATCATTAATAATGCTTGGGGAGACTACATGCTGAACAAAGCTAGAAGACAGTGAAATGGGGAGGGGTGCTTCTCGCTCTGCAGGGCTCTGGCAGGACATGTCCCGCTCAGCCCGATACCTGAGCAGCGGAGAGCAGCGAGCAGAGAGTAGCAGGCAGAGAACAGAGAGCAGCAATCAGCGTACAGCTCTGTTCGACAGGGCATGTCCCATTCAGCCCAACACCAGAGCAGCGAGAGCAGAGAGCAGCGAGAGCAGAGAGCAGCGAGAGCAGAGAGCAGCGAGAGCAGAGAGCAGCGAGAGCAGAGAGCAGCGAGAGCAACGAGCAGCATGCAGTCACAAACAGGATTAATCCTGTCCCAGCTTTTCAGCCACAGATGGCCGTCTGTGCCATGACATCACACACGGATCAGCAGTGCAGACACTCCTGTGGCCCGTACTACGAAGCGGGGTTACTGGCTCATCGGGGTAACTTCTCGGATTTAAGGTAGTCTGGGCAAAATGTAAGTGAACGAATATGAAGTCCATTTAAACTGTGGTACCTTAAATCCAACAAGTTACCCCGGTAAGCCAGTAACCCTGCTTCGTAGTACAGGCCACGGGTGAATGCAGCTTCCAGATGAGCGTTTCTACTAGAGTCAGAGCTTCCTACCTGTAACCAGCTGCTCCACACACGCCAGAGGCACGTCATGGTCGCCCAGTAGGCGGTTCCGGTACTGAAATACCTGAAAGAGGGTGAAGAAGTGGAAGGCTTCAAGCCAGACAGCAGCATGAAGCACAAACATCATCCACTCACAGCAGGTACCAGCAGGAAAAAAAAGTGAAAAGTAGCCCAGGTTAGATTTTAGAAATTTCAGAAGAATGTTTTATTTGGATATGAATTAGACACTAAACATTAAGTCCTTAACCAATATGGCTGATGAGGGACTTCGTTTCCACCATTGTCTCTGTTTTTTAATCTTTATTTGGTACCTAAAAAAATATCCTGTCTTTATTTTCCTGAAAAAAAACAAAAACAAATGTGCTATTTTAGGACAGAGCTGATTCCGAAACATTTTAGACTTTCCTCTCGTCAATATACTTACCCACTGATACCCATTCAAAGATAAATCTGCACAGGATCTTAAACGGATTGGGTACACAGCAGAAGACCCTGTGTGACCCAAACGGAGGAACATGCCGGCGCTTTCATTCCAGTTCTAGAATCCTGACAGCCAATCACAGCACTGTTACAGCATCATCTGTCAAATCGATGACAGACACACCCCTCTCCACTAGCCAACATCTGCTCGCGCTCACATGCACCGGGGTTACGCGGCGGAGCATGGATGCTCTTATGTAACGCCGCTGCCCTTCTGCAGGCTGTAAGCCTCTGTCACCACGCAATGGAGCAAAATAACCGACCCGAGTGCCGAGGAGCAGCTCAGCATCCACATGAGCAAGGCCGACAGCGGTGGGATAAAAGGGCACAATAAGTCACTCTCAGCCTTTGTTTTGATCTCCAGGCAGGGGGGGGGGGGTTGGTAAAAAGGGGACCCATCAAAGGGGAAGCGAAGCGCAGTGATACAAGGTGGTGCCACCAACGCAGGTCTTAGCCGACAGGAGCAGGCAGACCCAGGTGGTGACCAGATGAGATATGGGGGGGGCATCAAACAAGCAAAGGGTTTTGGAAAAGCCGACATCGGGCCAATCAGGGAGGGAGAAATCTTCACCCCAACAGGGAAGAAAGGGTTCCTACGGTTCAGGCGATATTTCTCTTTTTACGGCACGCAGTAAAGCGGAGATGTCAATAAAAACAAGCTGCCTGCCTGCCGATTAACCCAGATACCTGCTGAACACGTGCGTTTCCACTCAGACGGCCTTACCGAAGCAGGCTCTTCTCATAAGTTGAGTTGGAAACTATTGGTCACAACCTACAGTAATGCATTTATACTTTTAAAGATAAAACTATTTTTAACTTTGGAAAATAAAAGAGCTGCACGCGAATGCGGCAATAGTGGCGTTTTGGTCCGAAAGCCGGGCTTGTTGGGGACACATACCTGTCGGTCCAGCACCTCGTGGCTCACGAAGGAAACCTTGAAATTGGTGCATATCAGCTTCCCCCACAGGTCGTCCTGGCTGCAGCCGGTCCCCATGCACTTCCTTACGAAGTTCACCTCACTCACCACGATCTCGCCTGCGACAAAGAGGGCCATTAGGGTCATAATGTAATAATCACAATTTTCTGTGTGGTATTTTTTGGTGGACGGCACAGCAGAGAGACGCTGTCCCCGTGAGACCTGGTGAAGGCCGTCCCTAGGCGTCCCGACTCCCCCGGAGATGGCCACCCCCAGGTGACACCCAGCAAAGGCCGCCCCCAGGTGACACCCAGCAAAGGCCGCCCCCAGGTGACCCCAGTGCCCCGTGAGACCCAGCAAAGGCCGCCCCCAGGTGACCCAAGTTCCCCGTAAGACCCAGCAAAGGCCGCCCCCAGGTGACCCCAGTCCCCTGTGAGACCCAGCAAAGGCCGCCCCCAGGTGACCCCAGTCCCCCGTGAGACCCTGCGAAGGCTGCCCCCTAGTGACCAGAGTCCCCCATGAGACCCAGTGACGGCGCTCCTCTTACTCCACGAGCCCAAGTCGGTGTTTCTGGCTGCTAGTCTAGCCTTACTGCTTGGAAGTTACAACAGCATAACAGCCCAGGGTTTCTGGGACATTAACTGCTGTGCAGGAAAAAACCCTAAGAGCTACTGCTGAAGGCAGCAGAAAATACAGGCAACAGTGACAGCAGACTGCCAGTCTGGATGCACATAGGAAAAGCACATTAAACCTGCAGGTACCTCACCTCAGGCTGAGATTTACTCACGCTGAAGCACTATGGAAGATGACAGAGTACTCAAAGCACTGAAATTCATACCAGTAATGACCTATAACCTTAATATTTTTAGCAAGCCTGAAAGCATTACCATGTAGGGGAGGTTTGAGGGGGGGGGGGGCAGGTTACGCTCAATATAGGAGCAGAATGACACAGACACGGTCACACGGACGTGCCCACAGGTAAAGGGGTTAGTGATCAGGAATGTTAAAACCTGTCAGTACTGAAATATAATGTATGTCAGCCTGTTTTTTATTTTCACTAGACAGCGGTGCCACTTGGTGTACGCTAACGGTTACCTTCCCTGACACATTTTTACACTGGGAAGACAAAAACAGACATGTGAGATACAGAAACGCCGTCGGGTGTTAAGCACACATTCCGTGGTCATTCCCAAGACTGTCCCCGGAGGCGACGGGATGAGATGATTAAGGAATGATGGAGAATAGGCAGAATTCCTGCTGTTATTCCGTTCGGACAGCCTCACCTGGCCACGTCGCTCCATTCAAACAAACTAACGGTCAAGGCCCGCAGGGAATTCATGGAAGGGAAGCGATTAGCACAGACCTAAGTTTGCCCAGTAGGCAGCACTAAAGACAGCCTCTGGAAATAAGCAAGAAACCAGATATAATCTGACCTTTACTGGGCCCACCGTCTATTAAAAGGAATGGTTTATAGCTGTTCACACTTCCAATTGAAAACATGATTATAAGGTGGGGTCACTTCAGTGTAAAGAAATCCTAGGAAAGAGTGTCCTGGATACAGATGGGCCACCTCTCTGGAATGTGGGGAAGTGTTTGTCTCTCCCCCAGAACCACCTGCTGCACCTGGCTGCCCGCACCCCTTGCTCATCTGGGCACAGAACTCCTTCAAGGGGAGATCGGCTCCATCTAGCAGAGAAATGTTTGTAAGAACAAACTTCCGGAACAGAGAGACCAGGAGTCAACAGGCAGAAGGGTGCACAGCCTCAGGAGACTCCCAGTGCCCCTTAAACAAGTGGGCAACCATACAGCACTTGTTGAAGATGGGCGCGCATGGGGGACGCCCAGAGCCTATCTGGTCAAAATACAGAGGTGTGCCAGGCATGACAGCAGACACCCATGACAAGCACCCGCCCCCACAGTCACCACGGCAACAAAAATACGCTCGTCAGCAAGAAAACCCACAATGAGTTTTGACAATCCCCTGAAATACTGCCGTCCAGAATCTGCAAATATATATCTATATACGCGTTTATGTTTTATACACATACACACCTTCAGAGGCGACTCAGTAACTGCAGAGCTGGTAGCTGGTTAAGAATCACATTTCCAAACCAGCGAAGAGCAGCAGGGCAGCTAGGGGTACCACCCACACGGCCTCAGACAGAGTAGGTGACTTTTTTTTAACCTATCAGGACCTGCTCTCAGCTCTGAGAAGTAAAAAAAGAACATCCTTGAATAACCTGCGGCTAAATACTGTTGCCCAGTTGCAGTGCAGAGTAACTCAGGGCAACATGACTTAGATAGTAGCCCTTCCTGGGCCAGATTAGCCAAAGGGCTATATACCCCATAAAATATGTACCGTATATAACTGGAGACGAGCTGTTGGCTTGGCCAGGCTCCTTTCATTTGAGCCCACAGAAGACCACAGGAAAAGGCACTGGGATGGGGCAGAGAGTTACTGGGACCAACAATAGCCCTTGGGAGGGGGGTGGAGGCAGTGGGAGAGGACAGAAACAGAGGGGGCAGGATAGCCGACCTTCTTTGTCCACAGATGAAACCCAGAGTTTGTTATGTATGACACAGCCCTGAATGGGGGTATTGAGCAAGGGGCAGCGCTGAAGGTCACTCATTCATGTCACGTCCCACGACTGAGTGTGGCTGCCACCCCCCGCCCCCCAAAATGACACTCACTCCATTCAAGCCTGCAGTACAGACAGCCACCAGCAAGGATACGAATACACATGAAGCCCAAAGCGGCATATACTGCAAGAAAAGCCACCCATATCACAGGCGTAACCACAGACTAACAGCCAAAAAATAACAGACTGCAAACATAACTGTAACGGGAACTTACTGACACGCAACAAGTCAGGAGGAGCCACCCCACAAGACCGGAATGAAGGTCGGGGAAGATGTAGCAGACATAACCTGTGATTATGTCAAGTCTGACGCGTTCCCCAGCTGACAGACGACGCACCCTGCACTTTCCAGCCACTTCTGCCCTGTTAAAAACGTCACACCACAAACTGAAATACATTTAACACACGGCACTGAGTCAAGGCGCCCACCCCACCGGCCCTGCTGGCAGAGAAGGCGCTGTAAAACCACAGATACAAACCATTTAGAAGTTGTGGGTTATTAAAGCAAACTACCTCTCTGGTCATGGAAACTGTCCCTAACACGACCCAAAGATCCACCCGATCTTCACTGCAGATTTCATGAAAAATAATGACACAGACAGTGGGTCTAGAGAAAAGGCAGACATTGTCTTCCAGGGACCGGCAGCCTCATGACGACTGCAGACAGCTTCACAGAGAACAAGCCCCCGTTACCAGCCGTCTGCCGCTCGCAGCCGACGGCCAACGTGCCTGAACACTCACGGACACCAAGACATGTCATTCCCATCTCGGCAGCAAAATGTGAAAACACACAAGGCGTGCCGGCTCTGAAAACAGGGAAGGTCCATCTTAACTTGACTAATTACAGGGGACGCTGCCTTAACTGCAAACCGTTCCACAGATCTACTTATAGAGCTTGTGAATCTCCCAGCTGGTCCTGTTCAAGAACGGTCTCTGTGGAAAAAAAAATATATATACCACCAAGTAACAAAAAGCCATATTAGAACAATTCTTCCAATGTGTTCCACATTAGCGTAACTAAAGCCCCTTAAAACACACCCAGGACAATGATAGCTCAATAAAGACCAGGGTGAGAGATGTGCAGTTATTTTCAGAACCAGTAAATCCCAAAGGGGAGGTTGAGTGGCTAGATATCAGGGGAACTTTTGACCAAAAGCCAACTGAGCTCCACCAAAACAGTGGGAAATTGTTCTTGAACGGTACTGTGTAAAAGCCAAACTTTTTTTCTGTAAAGACAGCAAAATACACTCGTACTTGGCCCATGAAAAAGGTCGTTTGACTTAAAAACTATCAATCCATGTGAAAACTTTCACATTACTGGAGTGAAACAAATTAAACTATAGAGCACAGCCAGCAGAAGACGCTGGAATTGCTATAGCAGGTTCGTGAATTCTATTAGGATTTAATTCAAACGAAAGTCACACATAAATGTCTCCCCTGGGGTCTGAACTTTCCCGGCTGGAAAGAAAACCTACTGGGCAGAGGAAAAAGGCTGAGAGTGATGAAAAGCCTTAACAACCAAGGGCCGGCTCGATTATGCAGCTGCCGGTGCCAGTGGGGGGGGGGGGCGGGCTGGGGGCCTAGACAGATAACCATGGCGACTGACGGACACGCGGGACCCCAGATAATCCGCCGCGAGGCAATGCTTCCCAAAAGGGCCAACACTGTGTGCTTTTAGGAGGGAAAATGAGTGGGATGTGATGAAGGATGAGCTGAAACAGACAGAAAAACAAGAACACTGTCGGCCTGGCAGACGGTCAGCCTAACAAGCACTGCTGAAGATCTCAGGGCGACTCAACTCAAAGGTTACCTTTCCAGAGGTCAGCAGGGTTGATATGCAGACACTTAAAGGGGGCGTTTGGTTCTGCGCTGGAGTGAATATGGAAATCTGCTGCTTTACAGTAATAACAGTAATGAAATGTAATGCAAATACAATGAGGAGGATCTCCTTGTGCCGAGGAGCCAGCAGCACCACCTGTCCATCGCATCTCGGCTGTTTACCTGGGAGTAACTTGGCTTCCAGTTTCCTGATGGTCAGCTGAGGGGCTTTCTTCATGTCAGGCTGTGTGCAGAGTTACATGATACATTACAAACACACCATGTCTCTGTCTGCACTAACCACAGAAAAGATACGTGCAAACCCCAGGGGGAAACACAGCGTGCACGCATAAAAAAATCAGCTTTGAAAAGGTATATTGGCTATACATACGCTTGAGCTCAACCAACAAGCAATAAAGACGTGTATCCCAAAGAATTACTTAGTACAGAGGATGATAAATTTAACGGTATAACATACAGTTTATACGTTTCCGCTTAAAGTAGGCAACCAGTTTTTTCCAGGTGCGTAACTATTAGAAGCGATGACTGATCTGTTAGTAACGTTAAGGCGGTGGTAGAGATGACTGTTAAACGCTTACCTGTAAAGGGGGTACGCATGACTTTAAGGTTGGTTTCAAAGGTTTGATGGAAAACATTGTACGTTGAGCTTTGAGGACAGGTAGGGTCAAAAAGCCAACAGCCTCTTACAGCTTACTGATTTACTCCTCCCAAGTTAAAACAACTAGTGACCGACATAAAACCAATACACAAAATGTTTTAATGTCCCGATCGCTGGAAAAATCACGGGTCCCGTGCCGGTTCTCAATAGCGACGAAGCAGAGACACAAAATCACATTTCACGTTATGCTCTTGCCGCAGCGATGCTTGTCGCAGTTCCCGATCCCGCTGAACTCGGTCGCCCTCCTGCCTCTTAATCACTCGCTACGGTAACTTTGTTTCCCTCTAAACTTCAGCCACACGCCTGGCTCGGCGATCCGGCTTCCAGCGGCGGACACACACGCTCCCCATGGCCTCTGCCTCCAAACGTCACCATCACAAGCCTGAAACGAGGTGCTCGGCTCGGTCACGCTGCACTCGTCCCCATACTAGTGCTCCGGCAGGGGAAACTAGTGTAAAACGCGTCTTTCGTCCACACCTCCGTCGGTGCATCCATATTTGCACTTGGAGGAGGAGACAACTACGGCAGGGCATTAAAGACAAATGACAGTAAAAAGTCTCGTAAGCCTCCACATCCACAGCACTTCGGGAGGACATACAGTGGGTCAAAGGTACGGCAATGTACCTTTTATGGTGTTATACATATTGTGCTCAGTGGTTATGTTAAATATTCCACTCAACCTCCTTGAGAAGTATGTTCAAAACAAAGCCGGTTTTAGTCTGGGGGACGGTATCACGCCCCATCTAGTGGTGCATGGAAGTGTAATTTAAAGGCGTTATCGGGGAAAGTTTATGGAAAATGACTGCAATCCTTTTGCTTGAACGGAATTCCAAAGTCACGTGATTGGACGAGGCCGGAGGCATAAAACTATTGCCTCACTACCTAACTATTGCTTTTAACCCCCAAGTCTGAGGCCAGGAAAAATGAGTATTAAAAGGGGGAAAAAACTGATTTCCGCCACTCAAGAAGTTCGCTTACAAGATAAAGGAATGAATGTCCTTATCTAAAACATGCATGTGTAGTTCTAAATCAAATACCCGATTTTGCATTATGAAATTACAACGTGGACACAACCAAAACAAGGAGAGTAATGTCAGAAAAAGGTGGCCACGCATATCCCTGAAACCAGATGATCTTACTGAGGAATCACACAGCATAATCTGTGTAGCTCTGGACTGATTCTTGATTCAGTTCATCTTGTGTTCTCCTTCACCTTGCCAGACCAGAATCAGCCAGGAGATGAATGTGCTTTATGCATTATGCAGTGCAACAAAAATAATACACTGAAATGATTTATATAAGATGTTAAGGTCCTATGGGTAGCATAGTGGCTCAGTGGGTCGCACCGATACTGTCCCAGCGGAGCTGTAGGGTTTGAACCCCTCCTGCTCTCTGTGTGAGGAGTTTGCATCACGTGTGGATTTCTTCCAGGGGTTTTGTTCTGCACCCACAGTCTCGTGCCCTTTGTTGCCTGTGATGGACCCCCCAACCTTGACCAGTATGAGTGGTTAGAAGATGGATTGACTGTTAGCAACAAAAGCAAACTAATAATGACATAACTTATAAAAAAATCTACAGGCCTATTTAAACTCCAGACTCAGAAATAATCACTTTACAACTAGTTCCTTTGTAAACATTTCATTGGTGTTGAGTCTCTAATGAAAATTAACTAATTAAATCTAACTAATGATTTTCAAACTATGATATAATGCAGTGCTATTTGTTCATAGACATCAATCAGAACAAACCGCATACTGGTGTTTCCCGCTGGGTTCTCTGTTCTGTCACGTGGCCCCGCGCAGATTTACACATTTGTGCAAACGCGCACAACGCTGACATCTGCTGTTAAGGAACAGGAGGAGCGTGCAGGTTCGCGTCCCAGTTTGTGCTTCGGCCCCAGAACCGGTAACATTATTTATCCGTTAATTCGGGCCTCAGTCACAGGGTTTGTATTGGAACTGGAAACTTGAGGCAGGTGTACTAAAACCTGCTAACTGGTAAATATATTTATCTTACTGTCCATAAGAAGCTAATACAAGTCATCCTGGCCTGAACAGTGTACAAGACAGAGGTACACCCTGGATGGGGTGCCAGTTAATCGCAGTGCACAGACAGTCACAGACAGCGGCAGCATGATTTGACCCCCCCCAACCCTAGAGGTATGAAGGAACAGTGGGAGCCACTGAGCCATTATAGAACCGTTTAATCAAAATTAGGATATTTTCTGTTTTGCAGGTGACGTGCCTGTAATCTACCACTAGATGGTGCCACATACACATTTTCCTCATCTTGCCTTCGCCATATCTCAGTCATGCTCAGCAAATACACTGAGTGACTGTGTTCAAGTACTAATTTGATAGTGTTTTAACGGAAGCGTGAAGGATCAGAGTACTGCTGTTACCCGAACCTGCCTGATAATATGTAAATAGAGTGTGGTTGACTAAATACGGCTGCCGTTTCACACGTCTTTTTCTTGCTTAAGTGTTTAACACTTGCGTGTTCGACTGATTTACAGTGAGGACCCAAATGACCCATGTCCTGCTGGGACATGCTGCGCCTGAGTGTAGGGCAGGCTGATCCTTACCGTGCGGGAGGCCAGCTGTGGAACACGGGCTTGCGGGAGAGACAGCGGGATATATCTGGCTAAATACAGACGTCCCCGAGGAAGAACAAACCTGCAGCCTGCAGCCTAATGTTACTGGGAAGCCTCCTGATGATGCAGTTTGGTGTACTTTGCACAGGGCACACATCTGCATCTGTAATTATGCTTGTCTGTGACACCACTGTCTATGTGTTAAATCAATGACATGCCTTAACAAACCGCATACACAATAAAACTGGAACTTTAGAAATGTGTTTAGACTGTGTTGCTGCTTCAAGATGGGGAATTTAGAGGTGTGGTGGTTGCAGGTTTGAGACCCCAAACAGCAAGGTACCGCCCCTAAGCACTGCTCCCGGGGTGCTGAATTAGCTGCCCTCTGCTATGTCACGATGGCTTAAATATACAGAGAACATATTTCATTGTTGCGTGCTGTGGTGTGTCAACACTGACAATCATTCACCTTGAATAAGCATGTGCAGCCCTGGCTTCAAAATTCAATAGTTGCAGCTCTCCCAGCACAGAACTTGGTACTGTACAAGGTCCAGCCCACGTGCATGCGTGTCTAAATTAGGTTTACCTGGGGTTTGACTTTATTTATTGAAGGAAGGCTGGCATCGGGGCTAAGACACTTGGGCCTATAGCCGCGAGTGATCGGACCTAACGACGCCCACATAATCCACACAGTATAATAACTTCATTGCTAGTTGGTGACCAAAGTCCAAGACCAAATAAATCATTTCACTATTAAAATGAACTAAATAATTACCAGAATACACCCTTGTAAGTTCTTTGGACAGACAGATAGAATGGATGCAACAAATTGTAGTAAACATAAATCCCCTTGAAAAGAGACACAAGAGAGAACAGAGTGAAATTCTTCCAGCGGTACCCGAATTCCTTTCCCTGTCTGCTGATACCAAATAACAAAAGTACATTTTTATCTCACTTCAAGCACTGCTACTCAATTATATAATATTCATATGCAGTACCGGTCCTATCCTATGTGGCGCCCTAGGCAAGCATCACCGCTGGCGCCCCCTGTCCGAGGCAAATCGGCTGGCAATTCGGCGCTGCCTCAGACTGGGGCACGATATAGGATTGACCGGCCCTGTTTAAATGTCTACATTTTTACACGTTTTACTGCTTCAGTTATTAGAAAAAGTACATCACCTATGAACTTAAAGCGCACGATCTGTCCATACCCAGAGCGCATAGCCATTGGTAGAATCGCCTCGGGAGCCCCCCCGCTGAGGCGTGGCTTCATCGGCTGCGGGCAAAACACAAATTACCCGTGGGGGGGGGTTTCCAGTCCCTCGCCAGTCCTGGAGTTTTCTTGTCCGAAAGGGCATCGCCGGGTCCTGGGCGCGCGCTGGTCTGTGCGACTACAAATGATCCCAGCTGCTGTTGCTGCGTCCTGGACCGCATCAGACCGGCCGATTTCTGCAGGATAATCTGGAGAGGAATGTTAATTACCGATTATTCATAATTAGCCCATTGAACAGTTTTCCCCTACCAAAGGACTTTTCAAACGTTGTTAATATTTTTAAAATACCAGTAAATAAGTCCTATAGTGTAATCATTGAGAAGGAAATGGTGAGTGACGAATCTTCTTCTCAAGCAAATATTTCCTTTGTGATAAATTCATCTCAGCTAGTAACTATAAATATTAATATAAATCGCCGATATCTAAGGTTGTAATATTTGTAAACGTTTTTTTATTAAAAATATTTTACTCTTACCATTTCGCAAAAGTGAATGTTATCAGCCAATTAAGGAAGTCTTTTTTCCCTGTGTAATTTTAGTGTATATGTTACACTGTGTGAAAATGTCAATTGCAATCTACTCAACATATTCAAATATTTGTAATCAACGGTGTGTTCAGGTTCCTTTTGGTTTTGCACGCTATGAGATGCCCGCTGTTTAAAATGCTGTAAACTGTAGATACATGCAGCACTATTAAAAAACAGGACGGCTATTAAAGTTGCCATAATGAAATTTTTAAGTACAGGCTGTAATCCTCGTGGGATATACCTTAGACGAATTTGTTTGCAGCTAGATGCGTGACTTGATGTTCTGCTTCTGATCGCGCCGAAATCGTTCTTTTTTGTTTCAGATTTTCGGAAACCTATTGCTACCATTTTGGTTCATTAAGTCAAAGGACAAAAATAGTACAGAAAATCAATACCGATGTGATTTGCACACTGAAGGAATGATGAGATGCTTTCGAGTATCAGAAAAACTTTTAGTAACATTCAGAAGTAACATTCCCCAGTCCCTCCTAATACAGGACAGTTACAAACTGTACGGATTCATAGGCAGTAAGTGGAAGCCGCTGGAATGGGTCAGTCATGCCAGCAAGTGGTGCGGCGGGTCCAATGGGTCCTGACCAGATTGGTACAGATTCAAATCCTTTAGACATTTAAATCAATTGCTTTTTTTTCCGTTGAAGTAGTGTGAAAGAGTCAACCCGTACATCTGTACCAGATTGTTTTACCTTAAGTTTCTTTAGTTAAGAATCGTTTATTGTTAAACGTCTATTATTTGAAATTGGATTTGTCCATTAAAGGATATCGCGTGCTGATGGTTAATGTTGAATTTGTGTGACACCTCGAGTACAGGATGTTTGCATACTCTCTGGGCTACTTGCGGTCGGTATAAACCTCTTGGTTTGCCAAAGAGCACATTCATTTCACCGACTTGTTAGGGAGAGCAGAAGCTAGTCCATTCCAGCAGGTTTAGGGGGAGGGAATGTCGACTTACGGGGGTGTAACTAAGGCTTTAGATACCAAAAGACTGGGTACTTTGACTAAAAGAACAAACAGTATTTTCCAGTTGAGTGGAACATCAGAGAATAATACTTCCACAGTAAGACAAAATACAGTAACTGCGCAGACACCGAAACTGAGAAAAATGACTTTAAAGTTTTTTGACAGTACATTTGTATGTGTAGGAGGTATGAAAATTATGGTGTTTTTTTTAACGGAGCATAGTTGAACTACAACATTGTGTCTCAAGATAAAATAGGCAAAGAGACCTGATTTCGGTCACTTATTTGATGAAATCTGCAGTTATTGTGTTTTGCCTTTGTGGGGCAGAAAGACATTTTTATCAGTCATGCACAGAATATGGAGCGAGTCTCATAAGGTATTGCCGGCGATCGTGGTCGTCTCTGTGGAATTATGTGTAGAGTGATACCCCCAATTAAACTGCTGCTCTTGTATTTTTGGCCACATGCTGTTCTGTGAACTTCTGCTAAGAATTTAACCCCACCACAGTACTATAGAGCTGATTAGGCCTGAGGGCTTTTGCACTGATTGTGAATACAACAATGTCCTAATTCAGGTTCGGGCTAGTTAAATACAACACACCTAAGCTTATTATCTATTGACTTCATAATATCATTGAATTATATATGATGTTGCGCGTTATAATTCTTTAAAAAATACCTTGGAAAGAGGCAACTGGTATAAACTGACATATGCATGTCAAGACATTGTGGACAATTCTATGCTTCCAACTTTGTGGGCACATTGTGGGGAAGGCGGCCCTTTCTGTTCCAGCAGGACTGTGCCCCAGTGCACAATGCGAGGTCCATAAAGACATGGTCTGGTGAGTTTGACTGGCCCACACAGAGTCCTGACCTCAACCCCATCCAATACCTTTCTGATGAACTAGATCGTAGATTGTGAGCCAGACCTTCACGTCCAACATCAGTGCCTGACCTCACAAATGCTCTTCTGAATGATTGGGCAAAAATTCCCACTGATCTTGTGGAAAACCTTCCCAGGAGAACGGTAGCTATTATAGCTGCAAAGGGGGACCAACTCCATGTTGATGCCTGTGGATTTAGAATGGGGTGTCATAAAAGTTCCTGTGGGTATAATGGCCAGGTGTCCCAATACTTTTGTACATATAGTGCATTTTGGGAGATTAGGAAGAAACAAGAGGCCTTGTTGTGTTTCTGTGGGTCTGCAGGGGCACATAGCACATCAGCCCCTGTGACGTGGGGGGGTGAAGTTTCCTTTCCGCTGCTGATGGCTGTGCTGCTTCTTCCTTGCTCTTTGTTTCCTACATGTGCTGCTTAGCTCACTATCCAGCCTTTCATGCTTAATGACGCTCATTCTGGCTCTGTTCGCCTGGCCACAGCTTCTGGAAGGTTCCATAAACACTGGCCTTACAGAGTAGCCAGCTCTTATGAGGGACAAAGGGGATCAGATCTTTGATCATGAGTACAGCCGAGAATAAATTCTTTGGCCTGTAAGACGTGTGTCAAACCAATACGATAAGTGCCATACTGGATTGTTAATTGCTTAGTCATTGATTCCCAATCCCAATTTGACTATTGAGCTAAGAATATTTATGTTTATAATGGTATGTATTGCAATGTCACTGATTCCTGCTTGGAAGAACGAGTTGTAATGTGCATCATTTTCAACCAGAGCAGTATAGTTCAGGTCAAGAAAGTAAAAATCCAGACCAAGGTTTTGTTTCAACCACCCAGTTGAGCATAAAAAGTCACATTCAGAGTACTCAGCTTGTTGGTTGAAACAAAATCTTGGTCTGGATTTGTAATTTCTGGACCTGAACTTTCCACAATTGATTTCAGTCTTTCATTAAAATAAACAAGTGTACTGCATAAATGTGGTCATAGGTCCCCCAAAACATTTCATAACCTCAGGCATAGCAGGCCACACTGTGAAAACAGTATTTTGCAGGTCATCCCCTCCCGGTGAATGCAAATGCTCATGCCTGAAATGTATACAAGCCATGGGTGCACGACGGCACGGACCGCGGGAGCAAAGGCTGGACTCAGGGAATAGGGGAAAACACAGGATTTAATTCCAGGCAAACATTGAACAGGCAGACACGATATGATGTTAATGACAGAACTGGGGAAACATACTCAAACGCAGACTTAAATACATCAGATTAATTAACAACAACGAGAAACAGCTGGTAACATGGGGATTCCACACGAGGTAGCGAGGGGGGCGTGGCACAGGTCATGACAACTCTGTTGTTTTCCTGCTCTTTTCATGGAAACGTCGAGAACATTGCCATCGACAGCACCTGTCTGCCGATGTGTGCCTTATCGGAAGATGTTCATTTGCATTTCAGCTCCTGGAAAAACATCACATTCAGTCCTGAGGATTCACTTCCTCTTCCACCGCATTCCTTGAATTCACATTAACCATCAAATCACCATTCGTATGAAAACTCGGGAGTACCCACACTCAGCATTACTTCCTAGCACACACATTACTTCAAATGGATTACTAGAAATCGAACTGAGTTTTAATGCTTCAACATGATTGTGCTAGAAACATTTTAAAAGGATGTCTGTGTGTAGCACCTGTGCCTGGAGTGAAATTCTTCGGAAATTCCTCTTCAGACTCAAGACAATATTTTTCTTTATATGTGCAACTAACAATATGGCAAATTGGTTAGATACCCTGAGACATAAAGACCCCTATTTTTACAATGGGCTGCCCTATCAGTGTTTGTGCTTTGTGCTAATCTGATGTAAAGATTATGTAGAACGTTAGTACAAGTCAGAAAAGCTTTGCCATACGCATGCCCTTGTACACCTGAGCTCTGAACTTAGCTACCCTGCCCCCCCACCCTTTGTACGGTGGATCGTTGAGTAAGGGAATGCTGGTCGCTTTTTTTAGTTACCATATCAGCACACAGGGAACAAATCCATTCAGTAAATCCTACCTTTGAAATGGTCAGGACTGATGAAGGCACGAGCGCCAAGACTGTCTGTTTGCCTCTGTTGAATATGGATAAAAAACAGGCTTTGTAGTGTTGATTGTCCTGAAGAATGGTATGATTCCGTTTGATTCAGTTTCCAGCAGCTCTGCCCCGAGCGGCTGCATTACAGCCAGGACCAGAGTTTTTACTCAGAAAGAAGGGATTCACATTTTTATGGGCATGTTGGAGTTTTAATTCTACTGTCAAACCTTTCATCTATGATTTCATTTGTTTTGAGATAAAGGCACACTTGATTTTATTTACTCACCCTGACCAAGGCACACTTAAATAAAGTCCCAACACAATAGGTTAAAAATGTATGTATATTGATAAATTATATGCACCCTTGAAAAAGGTTAATAAAACTGAGAAAGCATGTCTGGCTTTTAGCAGATGTTTATGGGGGGGGGAGGTTCATTGAAGTTTAAGTTTACATAACATTTACATTGTTGCTTCGTTATCAAGCACATTTACTGGCCCGAACAGGACTTGCATCATGGTAGTGACTGGGTATGTTTCCAACAAGGGGTTTCTTGTCGGAACAGAAAGTACGGGAGATGAAGAGCAGACAACAGCTGTCACAGGACCCCTCAATTCCATGTTTAGCATTAGCAAGTCTGCTACAGAGTCAACTCACACACCATAGAATTAGTTCCTCAGAATACTTAATAATACTTAACCAAGCGAAGACCACCGGTGACTTTCTAAAGCCACACAGGTAGGCGAGTATAGCGCGAGGTCACTTCCTGTCACAGAATCATAGTGTGTGACTAATGGTCCAGTGTAGGGGTGAAGAGCCGCTCGGAAAAGTGGGTTTAAATGCAATGCTGTTTCCAAAAGCTTGTTATATATTTAAATTTCAGGAAAGAACGCGTTGCCAGATAACAGCAGGCCTGCTTTGCTCCACACATGGCGATCTTCAGTCTTATCCACAGTAACAATACTTTGGAAAAGAATATGGCACTTGTGCTGTTATTCTTTGTGAAAAAGAAAACATGACCAGGCTTTGAAATTCTTAAAGTGCGCCGCCTCCCGCACTCGCCCGTGGCGTCTCCGGCGAGCTGATGCTAAAGGGCTCCGGGAAAGCAGGAGTGGGCCTCATCTTCCGGAAAAGCAGAGGCGTCGTCATCATTTCGGGGTGCTGCATGGTGCTGCCGGTTCCATGTGATCGCAGGGAGCGAGACGATTGTAGCTCGTGGCCACGCCACCAGCCAAAGACATCCCAAGGCTTTGGGAGTGAGCTCGTGCATCCCACTTCTCTGGGAAGTCTCCCGCAAACGGACACTGGCTCCCTGCCACCTGCCATTGATGTGCAGTTTCCCAGAAATCAAGGGGGGGTGGCTACTGAATGTTTCCCTACCCAACAGATCGCCACCCGCCAGGTCTACAAATCTCACAGCCAGCACCCCCCCAGGTGTCCCTCCTCCTCCTCCCTGAAATCAGTATGCTTAAGGTGGGATGTCTGCCGTTATACAGAGTAACCATGTTGTGAGGCACTAACATACACAAAATTATGGTTATGGGCACCATCTCCTGGGTGGGTGGATACAGAAATGCCCCGTCTACATAGACTCATGGCAACGTTAACCAGTAAGCTGAAGTTTATTACCAAGGTTCAATCTCTGTCCACAAACAGCACAGTGGAAAGTGAGCTGGGTTCTCGGCCAAATCACAACAAGCCAGCAAGGCCGCGGAGAAGTATGTGTAAGAGGGGGTTGGGGGGCGCTTCCATCCTGTGAGACCAACTCAGTTCCCATCATCTACATTTAAATCACGATAAAAGCACTTGTTCGTACATTTGTGGATCTCTCCGAGGAGCGGTTAAACTATTCAAAAGTATTAGGGTGAGGTTCAACCTGTTCTGTTTTTGTTAGGTGTTAGAAGCCAAAAAGTGTTTCTGTGTGGTGTTGGTGGGCTTCGTTTTCAGTTACCAGGGTTTGGGAAACACAGGAGGGGTGTTTCCTGGTTTAACAGAGTATGGATTTTACATTTGGGGAGGGGGCTCTCTCCGTAAAAGGGGAATGAAACAAAGACGATGACTTTAACAGCTGCTCCGGGGTGAAGCACCAAGCACCCAGAATTCAGCTAAACTAGTTTAAACAGTTAGCAAGACACCAGATTAAGTTTCAGAAATGACCCATTATTGTGTTAAACATGGGAGGGTGACTAGGCTCTGCAGAGTGAACCTGTGAAGCCCATTGTCACACTGTCACACTGCCATACTGTTACACTGTCACTCTGTTACACCGTCACATTGTCATACTGTTACACTGTCATACTGTTACACCGTCATATTGTCATACTGTTACACTGTCATACTGTTACAGTATCACATTGTTACACTGTCATACTATTACACTGTCGCACTGCTACACTTAACACAGAGCTCTGAGTGCTTTGAAGATGCTGGCTGAGTTTCCCTCTTGCTCACAGCTCTGTTAAAGCTTGCCCATAGATTGGGGTGTTACACATGGTAAGAGGCTATAGCCTTGACATTAGCTGTTGGTCCCACTGGGGCCACTATCCACAGATGACCTGCAGGGTTTCCTGTTGTGGCCCTTGGCTGCCCAAAGTGTTACTGCTACATCCAGATGGAGCACAAATAATTCTAATCAGGCGTTGACGATATTCAAAGTACACGGGGGCCCTAGGAAAGAGGCAGGACTAGAAAACTTTTAAGTTATTAAGCTAAACCCCAAGGTTTTTTGTTTCTCCATGGAGAACAAAAAAATTATATACAGATGTTTAAAAATGGCACCACAAAGTGTGAAATGGCTGATTTGGAGGTGTGTTCACAGACTCCAAGAAACAGGCATCAGAGAGACTCACTAAGCACATTGATTGAAAATCCAACCCCCCCCCCCCCCAAATTGTCCTGAATTGCTTGCAGCTCATCAGTCATGATATGAAATAACGTAATGGTTCCCTTCTGGAAAAACAATCAGCTGGGAATTAATAGCACTCCCAGTAAGGGAGCGCGGCTGAGGGAGCGAGGAAACAGCCCTGCTGTTTAACCTTCCTGCCGGTGCACCGGGTCTGAGGGTGGAAGACTGTGAAGGCGCCTCAACAACGAAAAGCAGGCTCAGTTTTTGTGCTACACTTGGTGCTCATTCTCTGCGTTTCCCAGCAGTGGGCTAACAGTTGCCATAAGATTTACCAACTCAGTCATTTCATTGTGTTGCTCGACCAGAGTAAGTTATGTATGTCTGGACATGATAGTTTGTACAGCTGATTTATTACTGTTTTTGATGTTCCTCCATGTCTGAATTGATTCCCATAAGCTGTCCAGCTGCAGTCACAGGCAATCAATGACAAGGGAAAATAAAATGACACATATCGTATGACATGAAAGTTCAGGTTGGGTTTAGTGGGGAGTCAGATAACTCTTTTTCTGCGGATTTCCGACATATGTCTTCCATTCTACAAACATTCCCTAGTACCACAAGGTTAAGAGGTAGAACCACGTGCTGGGGAGAGCCTGTAAATACACAGCCTGCCGCACAGCCCTCAGCCACTGAGACAGAGTAGCCTGGAGATGCTAACTCTCTGATCCTGAAGACAAGCTCAGTCAGCACTTTCTGTTGCCTATTACCAAGAAAATCAAAGAAACCAGGCCTGAGAATGCTGACCTTCCACAAACAGAGATCAGACATGAGCTTGATATTTGCAGTGGTGAATGAATCTGTGATGTTACACTGAGTTTTTAATTTAAGGTCTAACCTGAGGTTCTCATTCAGGTTATTATCCCCCATCCCCCCGGTTCCTACACCTTTGCATATATGAAAGTTTCACATGTGTATGTGTGTTTGTGGGTTTCCAGGGAACCAAGACACAACACAGTCACATCTGGCAGAGCTACAACGTGAAGCAGAGTGGTGTAGATGACATGGTCCTGCTGTCCAAGATCAATGAGGATGCCATCGTGGAGAATCTCAGGAAGAGATACATGGATGACTACATCTTTGTATCCTTAACATTGGGAGGCGCTACCAAAGGTTATTTGCTTCTGTAGTTTTCTTAAGGTCCCTTTAGATGTTTATTGTTTATGTTTGAGGAAGTCTGCATGGTCTTCAAGGTTTGCATGGTCGGTAACACTTTACTCGAAGCAGTCTACATAAGGGTGACATGTAACGTCATAAAAATGACATAAGAATGACATGACATGTCATGCACATTAATGACACATCATTGATGTTTATGAAAACCGAATGACACAGAATTGTTCCAAAAACCGAATGACACATTATGACAACAGTCATAAACATCAATAATGTGTCATTAACGTTCATGACATGTGTCATGTCATTCTTATGACGGTTACATGTCATCCTTATGTAGACTTCTTCAAGTAACGTGTTACCGCATGGTCTTCATGGTTTGCAAGGTCGTCATGGTCTGCAAGGTCTTCATGGTCAGCAATGTTGTCATGGTCTGCATGGTCTTTGTGGTCGGTGTGGTCTGCATGGTGTTCATGGTCTTCATGGGCTTTGTGGTCTGCATGGTCTTCACTGCCAGAGCCCTGGTAGTAGTTCAGGAAATATACCTTAACTCTCTTGCATACAGACATTCATCGGGCCGGTACTCATCTCTGTGAACCCCTTCAAGCAGATGCCCTACTTCGGGGACAGGGAGGTGGAGATGTATCAGGGAGCGGTACGTAACGTGCTCCCCAAACACACCAGCGTGTAACCACTGCTGCTCCCTTCTCCTCCCTTCTATCTAAAGCGACACAGAGATCCATATAACCAGGTTTTCTCTTATAGTCGAAAGAGCTCAGATGCTGAAGCCAGCACAGTTGCAGAATGGCCAGCTCAGTATCTGAGAGGCCAGCACGGTCTCTGAATGGCCAGCTCAGTATATGAGAAGCCAGCACGGTCTCTGATTGGCCAGCTCAGTATCTGAGAGGCCAGCACGGTCTCTGAACGGCCAGCTTAGTATATGAGAGGCCAGAACGGTCTCTGAATGGCCAGCTCAGTATCTGAGAGGCCAGCACGATCTCTGAATGGCCAGCTCAGTATATGAGAAGCCAGCACGGTCTCTGATTGGCCAGCTCAGTATCTGAGAGGCCAGCACGGTCTCTGAATGGCCAGCTCAGTATCTGAGAGGCCAGCACGGTCTCTGAATGGCCAGCTCAGTATCTGAGAGGCCAGCACGGTCATTGCTTGGGCATCACGGTCACTGAATGGGCAGCCCGGTCCCTGCATTGGGATGTCGAGTGTTTGCATGCGGGCACAGACGGTATTCCTTAGCAGTGGGGATAGGATCCAAGGCTCTGCTGGATAAGGATGGAGGGATCAATGACAGCTATTTATGGTCTCAAGATACAAGGTGTTGCTTAAACCAGTGAAAAGTGAAAACCAGTGAAAAGGCCCTGGACATGTGGGTTTGGCATTGAAACGCCCTGGCAGAGCTGACTGTGCCAGTCTGTATCTGACCAAATGTCCATGAGCAGATCTGTAAGGAATCTGCTGGCTGTGGACACTGGCTGCTCAAAGGCAGCTTCCTGAATGACTGTGTTCTAAACAAAACCTGTTAGCTCAAAAGACACAGAAGCAGGCTGCAGCCCTCCACTCCCAGCCATTAAATGCTTCATTTGCCTCCTCACCTGAAGCTGGCCTCTTATTTACTGTGACCAGGCCTGGATGCACAGTGCAGCCAAAGTGCTCCTTATAACCAGAGGCCCCGTACAGAGAACCGGGACCCAAATGTCTCTGTAAGATGAAGTTCAGTCGGTTATGGAAGCATAAGGCCTGCAGCCCCTCACTTTCTGTTTCAGGCTCAGTATGAGAATCCCCCACACATCTACGCCGTGGCTGACAGCATGTACAGGAACATGATGATAGACCAGGAAAAGCAGTGCGTCATCATCAGGTGAGTCTCAGCTCTGGCCAGTGCCTCGATTTCTGTGATTTCTGTCAGTAATAAGCTTAATGCCTGAAAACGGAAAACGGCTTATTTATTTTGGACGACTGTAGGTACTGGAAGTTCCGCTGCTGTGGCCATTCTGGCTTCCAGCTGCTCCTGCCTTTCCTTCTGTGGAGGCCACACTCTGTCTGTTGGCCATGTCACTGAGAGCCCACTGCTTTATGGGTCTTCAGTACAGACAGAACCTCACTCTGTCCCTTCAAAAAAACGACCAGGAGACATTACGTATGGCAAAGTGACGCGAGCGCTCTCTTTGCCAGAACCAGGGTTCTTTGGGACCAGAGTGCCAGGTGGAAACATCTGTAATACCTTCATTTAGCCGCCTGAGGCCCTGACTGGCGTAGAGGAACATCACAAGCGTGCACTTTTGGTGCTGAATTAGCTAAAGCTGTGAATGATCATGTTCTCCTTTGATCGTTGTCATCCACAGCAGTTTTGAAGGCTTAAATACACAGAGTGTGGTCAGACTGGCGCAGGCTGTAAGTTTTATACATCTGCTCCCCCCTCTCCGATTTCTGGAAGGTTCTCCAACTGATCCGGCAGATAGTCACCATCAGATGATAATCTCATCACTGTGCAAAACATTTCATTTCAACACTGATTTATGGCTGTTTCCAGATGATATTACACTAATGACATTTACATTAATTTATTTAGCAGCCAATTTTATCCAAAGCAACGTATGCTTTTGTGAGAGCAGGTCAGCCAGCCCCTGGAGAGATTGGGGTTAGGGGCCTCGCTCAGGGGCCCAGTGGTGACATCACTCTGCGGGTCACTCGATTTCAACCAGCCAAATTCCACTCACATGCACAGAGCCCTAACCTACACAGACAAACCCCT